AATAATGCATGGGACATATTACATGACAAAATTGACTTTTATGAGCTTTTAACCATGTTATAGTTGTTTCCCCTTCTTATTTAACCTCTTGTATTTGGAGTGATTTGTGCATATTTGAGTCATTTTTAATCATTTACTGTATTTACAAAATGTCATATTGCCAATTATCCCACATTTTTACAACCACGCCCACTGCTCTGTGCGTACTTCGTCCTTCAGTTTTATTTTCTTAATTGGTGATTAGCATAGGATTCCCATGCATTGTGTAGTTATTTTGATACAAATGAAAAAATGTGCTGTGTGATCTGCAGCTATTCATCAGAGATACCGACAACTTCACAGCTATTTGTTGTGATGACGTTCCCATTGTGCACCAGCGTACTTGTTTAAGGTGTTTTAAATGAATACTGCAAATTAAAATGCACAAATTATAACATAATGATTCATGGGTGTCATAGATTATAACTATATAACAGGCTCACACACAATATGTTTCTTTAATTGAATTTCTGTCATCATTAACTTACTCAGAATTATATTTCTAATATGTCTGAGTAATTCATTGCCCTGAATTTGAGGTATGGGTGCTGGTTTCACATACCCTCTATCCCTCTGCTCTGAACTAACTACGATTCTTTGAAAAATTCAGACTCTGGGTCATACATATAGAGTGGCAAAACATTTTTCAAAGATAAAAATTGAAAAACTACTAGTTGCTATACACTGAAATGCCACAGTCAAAAGAGAATCTGCAATTCTGAATAGGAAGTTAATCGACCAGTTTATTAAGATCTATTCTATTGTATTAATAAAAATGAACTAAATGTGGAAATGAAAATGTCATAATTTCTTAGTAAATACCCAAAACAGTATTATGTTATGAAAGTCCAAAGTTGAAAAAAGCTTAATGTGTGTTAATAGTGCGGGTCAGTGAATGTCATAAAGAGTCATTTTGGCCATAACTTAAAAGTATGACATTTTGACAATACAATTATGTGGAGCAGTATATTTCCAAAAGGTCAAAAGTCATAAACCTTTTACTTCTCATAATCAAACAGAAGGATATTTTTAAAAGATATACCTCTTGAGAATCTATATTCAATACAATGAGATCCATATTATTTTCCCTTAAAGATCATAAGCCCTAAAACCATACATGTTTACACAATGGAATGGTTAACAGCTGAACTACAGCTAAAGATGGCAATTTTTGAAAAGAAATGTGGTCTAGTCTTTTTTTTTTTTTTTTTTTTTTTTTTTGATTGGAGTTTGTAACACTGTGTGAAGGCCCAATCTCAGGACATCTCAGGACTTTCTGTTGATGTGGATTGCCTTTTTCTTTTCTTTTCTTTTTTTTTTTTTTATTTTATTTTTTATTTTTTTGTGGCTAAAAAAAAAGCCCCAAAAGAGGAGGATGAAAATGTATTATTCAAGTAGTATACAAGAAGTTAATAGATGATAATTTTACAGGAGTATACAGTTCTGTTCATCTATATTTTTTCACAGAGGCACAGGGGCTCAGCTGGCTCTCCTCTGTCAGTTTGCAGGATGGTGAGAAACAGGTGTGCAAAAACTGGTGATGGTGACATATTGGAAAGACAAGCTGCTGTTTTCTCCTCCGGGAAAAGTGAAGCCATTTTGTCACATTCAAGTCAGATTTGTGTGACAACTTTTCAGGTTCCTGGAGTTTCAGACCCCAAATGAAATAAAGATAAAGAGTATATTTTTCCCTAGTCACCTCATTACCCTTTTGTTGCGGTCAACCAGTCACAGCCTGTTAAGTTTGTCTCTCAACCAATCACAGCTCAACTCATTCATACATGTGTTTTACCTTTAATCTTTTTACTGTTTAATCTATTCTAGCTCAGCAGCAAACGTATCAGCCCCCTCATCCCATCCTCCTCTTTACCACCTTCAATGTCTATCTAAGTCCCATGAGGAAAACATTTATACTATCTATATCTATAATATAACAAATCTATATCATACATCATTGCATACTGGCCAGTGGTGAGTAGAGTAGCCAAAAAATGTACTCAAGTAAGAGTACCAGTACTTCAAAAATAATATTACTCAAGCAGAAGTACAAATTACTCAAGTAAAAGTAAAACGGTATTTGGGAAAATTATGAATTAACTGCAAGAATAACTTTCAGGACGTAACATTTTAAAAATTAGCCCAAATAATGCTCAAAAATGTGAAATGTTCAAAGGCTAGGCATACAACTGAGAAAAGCTAAATCATATCGGAAGGAGAGAATCACAACTCTTCAAATCATTTAATATTATTCAACATTGATTTTGTCACTTGCAGGCTGTCAATAAAAATATTTTTTCAAGTAAAAGTAGAAAAATGTCTATATAAACAGTAAATGCGACCTCTGGTGCTGACATCATGTCCATGGGCAAGATACTTCATCCAACTTTCCTCAATGTGGAGTGAGTGACTGGTGGTGTTGGTCAGAGGGCGGATGATGCAGATGGCAGCCTCTCTTCGGTCAGTTTACCCCAGGGCAGCTGTTGCTATAGTTCTTCATCACTGCCAAATATGGGGAGAGAATGGGACAATGTTAAGATGAATGCATTATTATTATTTTATGTGTTCACATTGCTCTTGTTTCTGTCTAAGACTAAGCAATTCAAATATGTTCAGTAATATCTAAATTCAAATTAAGAAGATTTAACTTGATTTGAGTAGACTTCACTTGATAGGTGAAATTATCTGAAGTATCTTTTCTTAATTCAAACAACATACACTTTAGTTTATTTTAAATACATAAAAAAAGAGTTATTAATTTTATCTTTAGTGTAACTAGGTGCATTTTCCTATTTCAACTATAAAAGATAATTTTTCTGGTCATGTGAAATTTACTCAAATCAATACAACATGCTCTTAATTCAAGTAATTTTAACTTGATTTTCAATTGGAGTTTTAGATTTAAATTTTTGTAATGTTGCCTTGGGTACCCTCTATACCAACAAGACTACTTTTTAAAGCAAAAATAATATAGTATTATAGTATAGTATAGTATTCTAAATGGCTTTCCTCTGTAATGTGCCTTTTTCCAGAGCCTATTTTTCTAGGAGTTCTTTAGAACATTATATAATTTTGGATGGCATCACTCAAAGGTGCACTCGCTGCAACAAAATGTGTGACCTACTTACCTGGCTCAGTCCTTTTTGTCCCCATTCCTACATGCCCGCAGGCTCATTGGGAGAGGGAGGGGGGAGAAGACATATGCCATCAGAAAGCAAAGCGGGGCACTATATTTAAGGTGTATTTCTGGATCGTCACCTCATGACCTTGTGTAAATCAAATTCTGACTTCTCATTAAAGTCAGAAATGTCGCCTTGAAACCACCTTCCCTTAAACCAATTCTCCATCTTGTCATATGACTTGTAGCTTGTCATTTCGTGATTTGCTTCAGTCTTGGTGTCACTAGTATTTGCCAACACACCACTACTAAACCACCTCAGATGCGTAAAATTTCCTGGCAGCCAATTCCCCACTCATATTCCATGTACATTCTTCCCAGTGATGTATTGATTGAGGGTAGTGCCAGTTTCTTTGCCCAAGCTGTTCATTTGTTGTGACCCAAATTCCCCCCAGTGTTCTCATTAATTAGCTGATGCAAGGCTGTGCTCCCTGGGGAGGAGGGAGATTGAAAAAGCTCATTATAGGATACATCAATAAAGCTAGATTAATCGTCTTGAGGTATGGGGATACATTATTGTGGTGTATGTGGCACAAACAACGCTACAGGTGTAACAGCTCTGTCCCAAAACAACTTTGTTTTAGCTTACAGTTTCCCCAGAGTCTTTTAACAGCCAAGGCATTGAGTATTCTATGACATATATGGCTTTAGTTTCACTTGCTAAGTGTGGACTTGCAAGCCATTCAACCTGAGTCACTATTTTGGAAAAAAATAAAACAAAGAAAAAGGTGTCAGAGATAGGCTATTGATACATACAATTGATGCACCATTAATGCTTATTTTTAAAGGAACAAGCTGAAACATGTCCTTCAATCACTGCTTTATCTGTGACTTGGAAGGACCATTTACAAAATCATATAGACTGCAAAAATACAAGCCAGCACAGGGAAGCATAGGGCTTGAACTTGAACAAAAAACTTGAGATTTGCAAAAGATGGACTTTTGTCGCACTGGTGTCTGTTGTATTTTTACCTCACACAGAATATCAAGAATTTGTGCTTCTTATATAAAGGGTTATAAAGGGTTAGTGCACAGGTGTCAAACATACAGCCCGGGGGCCAGATCCGGCCCTCCAAGACCTTTAATCTGGCCCTCGGCTGATTTTCTACTAAAATATTTTAATTATGTTTTCTATTAAAATCTTGTTAATTTTCTGCGGTGTTTATCATAGCAGCGTCTCTGTGGGTGGCCCCTCCCATCAGAGCAGCACAAATGAAGACTTGTCTCTTTCCAAACGCTCTTAAAGGACGATCGTTTTGACTGTTGACCGTGACACCCTCATCAGAAAAATGTCAAAAATGAGAAAAGTGGACACCGAGTGCAGGATTTTACAACAAAAACTGACTTATTCCTATTTACATACAAGTTAATGTTAAAACATTGTGTTGAAATTGCATTTTTTTAAAGTTTCAGGTTGTTCATAATATTATAATATTTTGTAAAAGAAAGAGTTTATCAATTAAAAAAATATTTCTGTAATAGAATTGTGTTTCTCTGCACAAATATTTGAACTTATTATTTTTGGGGTTTATATGACATGAGTTTTCTGATCCGGCCCCTTTGGGATCAAAGTAATTCGGCCCCCGGACCAAAATGAGTTTGACACCCCTGGGTTAGTGTATACCTGCATCGTTTTTGGATATTGACTTCATATGCTATAGACTAACGCATGGTAATTTTGTGTCTTAAAACTATATCAGCTAGATAACATTTTACATTGGCAACCAAGTAATCCACAAAATGCAAGCAAGAAACATTTAAAGTAAAAATGTGAGAGGCATCAAGAGACAGATGATTTCTTGATAATTTAATGTTCAGAAGTCATAGCCTAACAGCGTGTATTAGTACTAAACAATTATTAAAACAATATATTAAAAAAAAAAAATTATTGGAATTTTCCATTAACAGGCATACTGGTAAACATTACAGACAAATAATGGACAAATGAATGCCAAACACAGGGCACATGTGGTTGTGTGTCTGTGTGGGGTGAGCTAAGGCTGCGCTGCATTAAAGCATGGCACAGTTTCACTTAATACAGAAGTATTCCATCCATTACAACGCCCTGTTTAATAAAGTAGACAAACATTCATTCCCTCAGACAGTTCATTGTGCTTGTTTTTTTTTTCTTTTTTGGAAAGAACCCAAAGAACTAAAAACACAAAGTGCAAAAACCTCATCCGATCAGTAAGTCACTAGTCCTGTCATTGTCCCATGCTCATATTCACTCCACAAACCCACCACACGTAGTTTATACCTTATAGGTTTCTAAAAGGGCTTCTCCTCTCTACATGTAAAAAGACATTGAAAACTATCTACAGTATAAAATAACATAGGAAAAGTTGCATTGATCTGCATATTTTTGGAGCCTAAATCAATAAGTGGAAGTACAACTGTGAACTGTAATTAATTCAAATATATTACAGTATTGATCAGGCTTATATTTGTTTTAATGTAACAAATAATAGGTCAGTTTCACTTAGGAGATTCAACAGACTGTCCAATCAGAGTGCTTCTTCCAACAGCAGCACTGCGACATGAGGAGACTATGGTTAAACTCTGTGCTAGAGAAATAAAATCTGCTTCAGCCCAACAGAGACACTGTTATCACAACGACAGACATAGCGTTTGCCTTTGAAACTGCTTTGTGAAACAAACCTATTCATCTCATTAAGCGAGTTAGTAAACATGGATTACAAGGCATTTCTGGAATGATGTGCTGTCATGATTAACTTAGTCAGCAATAAAGTACAAATCATTTGGGATACATTTTTTTTAGTTAATTAATTGCATATAGATTCAATAACATGACTGATTCACAAATACATTGTAAATCACCACAGGTTAATGGCTATGGAAATACACTATTTCAGCATTGTCCAGGGAAGATGATGTCTGCTATGGAGACTGCCCGAACTTCAGGGTTCACACAGCAGATCTATAGTGTGCGCTGTGTGAAGGGTTCACTGCACAAGCAGATGGGAGGCTCACACTGAGGCCAAAAGAAAAACTTCTCTTTTGGGAGTGATTACTTCCTCCTATGTCCTTGGCATTGGGTGTAGTGACAGAACACAGCTGACAGCATGGTCACAACATATTCTGCAGTGTGATGTTTTGGAAACAAGTGTCGCACAGTTAAAAGGTAATGGTTATTGGTGTGTATGCAGTTATTTAAAAATTTGAGACCAAAGGCTGATAATTCTGTAGTAATAATTAAGAATTCCATTTGTATTTATACAAATGGAATTTGTACAAATGTATTTATATTTAAGTCACTGAAGAAACAAGGTCCTGGACACAATACTAATAAGAATTCTCTTGACAAAGGATACACAAGGCTCACATGAAAGTCATGTTAAATGAAGTGAAAAGTAAGAAATGTCATTGTGAATAGTGATGACCTGTTCAGACAGGACTCATTTGGCTGGTCTTGAGTGACTGGATTACTGAGACAGGACTTCATGCTTTGATGATCGATCCTTTCGGCTGTTGGAGGTTCCTGAACGATCTCTTCCGTCCAGATCTTCATCCTTGAATATCAGCAAATCATTTATTTTACAGAGCAAAGGAAAGGTTTCAGGTATACATTTGCTTATGAGCCTTTTAAAGAGCCCAGTGCCATAAAATAGAATTAAGGTCACAAAAACCCGAGTTTGTGTGTTGACCCCGATACCCAAAGACTCGCACCGTGTCTGCAGTTTCCTCCCCTTCAGTGTGCTCTGCAGAGCGACTGTACAGCTCCATGTCAGATAGTGCGCTCTCGAGGGCCTCCTCCTCATAATCAGTGTGGTAGTCAGACTCCTCTAAAGAAGGGAAACAGTGGGCACCAGGAAGGAAAGAATCACATAGTCATATGTGTACTGTAGAAAAAGCTGTGGGGATAATGGGCAGTGGTGACTGTGAGAGAGTGACTCAGAGGAGGAGTGGAGTACATGACCGAAAAGAGTCAGAAATGCCCATTTGGTGAGTGAGAAGAATGGCCAGGAAGATGGTGCATGTGTCAGTTCTGTCCAGCCATTCGATTTGTGTTGTTTGTAGTTGAAATAAAAGTTTTTAGACACCAAAATTGATTTACCATCCATTACAGCTGGTTTAACAGGTTCAATGCGAGACACAATTTCTGCCAGGTCAGTGAAAGAGGCATTGGGGCATGTTACCACCTAAAACAAGAAAAAAGTCAAAAAATCAATATGTAAAACCAGTTAAAATTAGCATTTTCAATTTACACAAAAATATTTTTTGACATTTATGCTTTTTTTTTTTTATATCCAATTTACAGAACATCTGTACAATGCAAGTGATAGCTTGAGTCCCTTGAGAAAACAAATTATTGGAATAAAAGAGAAGCCCTGCCTGAGTTAGTTACTGTTCGTCAATGATGTACTCATGAGTTAGGGCAAGCTATAGGTAGACATTTAAGATTCTTGCCTATCCAGTCAAAACTTCTATCCAATAAACAATGATTGACTCGAGCTTACGTTGTTCTTGCTTTGGGTGTGGAACTCCTCCTGGTGTCTGTCCTTCAGCATTTTCTCTACCACTCCACTCCGACACCACACATCAAACACTGTTTTGCCATGCTGGTATCCCACCTCCTATTAACAAGTGATGAAAGACATAACAATCAATCACTCAATTGTACCACCAAGCTAAAAGCAAGCGAAGTGTAACGTACAGCAATCTCATCAAACTTTCCAAACTCCAGAGTTCGATATCGGTCAATGGGAGGCCTGATGTACTCGCAGTAGTCACTGTTCTTAACCAACTCCAGCTGTCTAACACAGCACACGTATGCCAACCGAGTCTGGATCTCAGCCATATTTAAGACCTAGGGCAAATATGTTAGACTAAATACAAAAATACACTACATATGGGTTCAGCTTGCAAGAACGAATGCTCTGCTGTGCTCACATCACACCACTACTTTTACCTTGACTTTCTCAGCAAGGGGGTTGAGGCGTTTCCATAACAGCCACCAGCCGGAAAGTGAGTCGCCATAATTAGTCAGGTTGGTTTCATCCCGACTTCCCACATCAATAGCGATCACCACTTTGGCCCCCATGGAGCGTGCCACATCAGCTAGGAGGAGAAACATGTTCAAAGACTGTAATAATTATAGACAAATATCACTGAATAAAAGTTGAAAATGTGGGCTAGTAAACTTTTAGACACCTGGCAGGTTGTTGATGTAGCCCCCATCCATCAACAGGTGTCCATCTTTGGGGTCACAGAGTGGAGGAAGATACCCAGAAAGAGACATGCTGGCACGAACATATCGCCACAGGGAGCCTACAACAGCAGGCAGACTTTAGTGCCTCCAACAGGGAAGTTTATTCATTTTAACAGGGCAAGGGAATTGTTAGCATACAGTTTCCTTTGTATTAACATACACATACCATCTGTGTGTACTCGCATTGTAGAGGAGCTGATGTCAGTTGTAATGTTAAAATATGGTATCCAAAGATCCTTTTGGAAAGATAATTAAATTCAGAAAAACAAGATTACACACTTAGATGTGTCTTGACATTTTTGAAGGGTTATTTCTCTCCTACCTCTATTTGTTTGCTTTTGAACAAATTGCTGAGGCTTGAATTAAAGGTAGCACCCGAAAACATCGAAGTGATTGGGTATGTAAAATCCAGAACTTTTTTAAATACTGATGTCATTTCCTGAAAGGAAAATATTTGTATAATCTTACTGTTTATATATGACACATGTAGTAGTAGTGTCATTACTCTGACACAAAGAGACAATTGGCACTAACCATGGCCCATTCTCGGGCCCTGATCCTCATGTGGCTGTGGCTCCGGTCTTCAGCATATAGTGCACCCATCAAGGAGCCAATAGACGTACCACCAATAATGTCCACAGGGATACCAGCTTCTGACAGAGCACGCATTATTCCCACTTGGGAACAGCCTCTGGGTTCAACATCAGAAAACACAGAATGTTAAAGAAATATAGTGACAATTAAGCTTCATATCTGAATCCATTATGTAACTATGTTCAGAGAACAGATCTAATTACCTTGCCCCACCCCCTCCCAAAATAATTGCAATGCTGTTTCCTGTCAGGACTCGAGCCAGTCGTGAGAAATCTGAGTGGCGGTCTGCTGGCTTTTCAAACACACGATGATACAGTTCACGCTGTAAAAATAATATGATAAAGAAAGAAAACCAAAGGCTTTGGTTATCAATGAGGTTAAAATGGGTTAAAATATTAATATATAATATTTGTTTTTACTAGTTTGGGTAGGCTTCTTTTTGAGAAGACTCTTCTTGGACAAGAGAGGTGTAGGTGTCTAGAGATCCAGCTCCTCATATTGAGCCACTCCACTGTGCCTTTGGGTGGAGGGCCATCTTCTCTGTGCAACAACACCAGCTGTTTCTGAGCTCGTACAGCACTACCTTCCAACATGCGCTCCAGCTGCAGCAAAAGACCACACACATGTGTTCTGAGTCTTTTTCAAATAACAAGCTCTAACAAATCAGAATTGCAATTTGGATATATCATTCCTCAGATGTACGCGTGCCTAAAAAGATGTAGAATGTAGCATGTTTCATGCTGTCCCAGGGTAAACAGTGATCCATATTTCATTTTCTTCAAGCATCAACATTTATATGCGGATACAGCCTACATTTTCTAGGCCTATTTGTAGGCCATTAACACAGTGTTAACACATGTTCACACGGAGACTATTGTGGCACAAGATCTATATTTAAATAATCCACATTTGAAAAACCAAAAGCATTTCATTTATTTCATTCATATAATTTATTTTACTATTTTGTTTATTTTTAGACAGTGGGGGCCCACAATAGTCTCCTCTCTTATTGGGAAACACTGATTGACAACAATTACTTCTCAGTCCTCCATCAGCTGAATATCCAGCCCTTTACTCTTTCTCTAACAATATTCAGCTTTTGCACATCTTTTCCCTATGCAACAAGGCCAAACAGTAACAATCCAGCAGATTTAACAATAGTTTGGGCATACATACATATACCTATACCTATATTTCAAATATGGATCTAAAAGAAATAATACAACTCAAAATAATAATAATAATAATAATAAAACAAGAAGATGTAATATGACACAGCGTGCACATCCTCTTTAACATTATCACATGTTATATTCTCAGATAATAATATGTAATACTGTAGTTAACTAGTAAACCAAAGGTAAGTCAGTTACTCTTTGTTCTCATGACACCACTGTCTTAGAACTGCTCACCTCCCCAACAGTTGGGTCCTGCTCCCCAAGTCCCACGATAATGATGCAGTCAGCCTGACGGATGCATCTTTGAGTCCACGGAGTCAAAGTGTAGTCTGTTTGATACAACACTATGCGATGGATGTCTTCCTGTTGACCAAGCCAGCTGGACAGGCGATACTCGTGGACACTAAAGACAAACAGCAGACTATTTCATAACAATGGGCCTTACTCAACTGGCAGCACACATTATTTTTATTTTCTCTTGTGCCAATAAAGTGAAAGCCAAACAACAAGGAAACTAAAATGTTGCCAATTTACCTGTCGAGTGCAGCACCTCCAAGACGCTGTTTGATTGTATCACTGGTCAGCAACAAAGTAGGACCTATGTGCAACAGAACAGTTAATTAAACACTTCAATTTTAGAAATACTATTATACTGACTAAAGCAGTTTAACCAGGTGATTACTAGTTTTTACCTGCAATGCATGAAGACCCACAAACTATTACAATTGAAACATCTGAATGTTCAAAAGGAATAATGGAATACAAGACTGCTCTGTGTTTACCTATTGCAACAAGGGCATGCTGCAGTTCCAAAGTGAAGGCAGTGAGAGGAACATCCTCAGATACAGGCAGCACTGCCACAGTGGACAGGTTAGAGGCTTGGTTCCCTGCATCCCATTTGCTGCCAGGGAGGGCCAAACTGCGGGCTGAGTTTAAAACAGTACATTTTTGTAAATCTTCAAGGTTATGCATTACAATTCATCTGTTATTACATTAAACACTTAAGGCCTGATTTATAAGTGTTTTAAGTGTTGGCTCATGTGCAAAACCAAAAGATATGCCAAAAGTGGAGCAAAGCGGGATGCAGTTGGCAGAAAAGCAGTTTTTGCTCCTGGGACTGAATGAATATTCTAAATGAGATGTTGCGCAAAAATGCTTAAAAAAAAAAAAAAAAAAAAGAGTGATGAAAATGCAGTATTACAGTTTAGCACAATGACTGATAAAACAGGCTGCTGAAACTGGCAGGAAGAGTGACATTTCTAATAGGCACACTTACTTGTCAGTGGACCATTGACCTGTCTGAGGATCTTCTCTCCAAGCAAGTGGATTAACCGGGTGACAACCTGAAAAATTATTTTACAGTTATTCTCTCATATAAAATAAATAATATTCACATCTTGTTTTTATAGCCTCAATTTGCATTATTGAGAACATGAGAACATTCATAATTTGACAAACTTGTATTAAAATCACTTAAAATAACAAATAAGGCATTTTCATGGAATTAAAACCTACCTGGGGAAATTTCCTTTTAATGGAGCTGAGAGCACCTTCTGGTAATTTGGCCAATTCGGAGTCTCGGACCGCGTGGACTGTGGTGGCTCTGTTCTGATGAGTGACAGTTTCAACCTGCAAAGAACTTCTGTCTGTTAAGTTATGCAACAAAAGATATAATTTATGGTGTTTTCACTGCCATTCACATTTCAACTGTATTTAGGTGATACAGTGACTTGACAAAATGTTCTAAACCCATCTGTCTGTGCTGACGTCGGCACCGTCACAGCAGTGCTAAAAATGTCTTGAATGCAACAACCTTCATACCAATCTTATTCTCATCCCCATCATTCAGGTTCACTCCTCTAGGTAACAGTAACCATAGCATCCATTACAGCATGTATTATTAGAAACACTGTGGCAAAGAGCAACTACTGTGGCTATCATAAGGGGTGTGTAGCTCATATTAATCTTGTCACGACAAAATAAAATGCTATAATGTATAACAATATATATAATTAAAATCACACATGAGAAAGTGTTGTGTTATGTTATAGAGGAATTATGATATACTTTTGAAATAACTTTTTGCACTCCTTTATTGAAGGAGGCCACATTCTCTAACAAGGTTGGGGCCATGAACGTAATGACTTACCACTCCAATCAGGTCCCCTCGGCCATACTCTCCTATTAACTCCTTTTTACCGTCCTCTTTCATGATTACAGAACGGAGTCGACCACTAAGCACGATGAAGGTGCAATCTGACTTATCACCTTGCCTAAAATAGGTTCAGGTTTACTATTAATATTTGGAAAAAAAAATTTTTTTGAATTAATTTCATAAACATCATTACCTATAGACCGCTCTACCAGCTTCCACAGCCATCCAATCAAGAGCAAAGTCTATCTGTCTGACAAAGGAGGACATCCTTTTCACAACTGTGTGCGCCACATTGAGCACAACTTTTGGCTCTACACGCATAATCCTGAAAGGCAAAAGCAAATAGTTGTTTTTTTTTTATTGTCAACTTTTCTTCAAGGTTAACAGACCAATTTGTCTTACTCATAAAAGTGAGTTTTTGAAATGGAGAGGAAGCTGCAGTCCCTTTGAGCTCGCACAGTAAATATGAGAGGTTCTCCTGTGAGCACAGCAAGTTGACCAACAAGCTCTCCAGGATGGGTCACAAATAAGCGGGTCTCCTCCTCACGGTCAATCATACGTTGGTAAACATGAAGAAGTCCTGATATTACAAACTGAATGCTTACTTCCTAAAAGGATCAGGCAGACTTTGTCATATTAGATGGTGAATGTCCTATAAATGTGAAAATGTCTGTTTTTCCCACCTGGTCTCCTTGACGGGCAACAACAGCACCCGCTTTAACTTGATGCAGAGTCACTCTGCCATCAAGTAGGCTTGAATCCTGGGATAGAAATCATGCAAGGGTTATAAAATGTATTCATATTTCTGACTCAAATATAGACCTCCACAACAGAGAAATAACATGAGCATGGTCTACTATTCTCTGTAGTATATCGCCAAGGTCTATACAAGGTCTAGAAAAAGCAATCCTGTATGAACTGAAAATATATTAATATTGATTTTTTTTTTATTTATTGTAGTATGCATTTCTTCATATGATTCAGTACAAATATTCACTCAAGTTCTCATTTGTTTTTATCCAACCTCATCTCCTCACCTGCAGCTGAATGACCCCCAGCAGATCCTTCTTTGCAGCATGGAGAATTGTGCTGCTTTTACTAAGGTGAATGGCATCAGATTGCCCTCTGCTGTCCGTATAGTGAAACACCTCTGTTGGCGTGTGATGCATGGTCACCGTTTTCTTTAGACTGGACTACATACAGAGATGTTGAATGTTAGTGCAGGCTAATAGGTTAATTCATAGGAATAAAAAAACTCAAGCAGAAGAATCTCACTTTTGGCAAGACTGGACTAGGTGGTGTCTCATCAATTGCAACACGGGCACGTTCACAAGCCATATTCAGGTCATTACCTACAACATTAAGTGCAAATTCAAGGTCAGTTTGTTGTTCCATCCAATATTTGTCTAAAATTATTACCTTAATAATGTTAAGGTGCAATAATTATACACATATTGCATAGTTGTTATTGTTTTTGTCTTTGATGGTGACATACCTGGGCAATCGGGGGGCAAAGAAATAGATCGTTGCTTTCTATAGTTATTTGAAGGGCTGTCCTTAACAGCATCCCCTGCAACCAGAATAAATCATGAACATTAGTCTAAAAAGTAATTGTGTGAGATGTAATAGTGTGTTTAGATTTAGCTGTGGGTGCTGACCCATGTCAGCAGGAGACTCAGAGGTCACACCAGGTAACTCATCCTGGAAGTGCAACCGACGAGTCACCTTCCCTGAACTGCCCTCAAAAATTACACTGTTCACATTTGTCAAGGGGACAGCTTGGCTCTCCTGTGAAAAGAACCCACAACAACCATAACAACAACAACAGTGCATTACAACATTATTATGCATATTTGTATTAAAATAAATGTATGTTATTATTAAGTTTTGTACCGGATTGAAGAGCTCCGTTGTTAAACCCAAATAGTTATGTAATGCTAGAAATGTGACTCTTTGAAGGCGTACCATAATAATCTGCAACACAGAGATGCACAAAAAATATATTAAGTTGTATGGGAGAAAACTATTTCATTGACTGTCAAATGTCATACCTGAATGACGCGCACAAGGGTCTCCGGATATTTTTTAAACACAGATTCAAAAGCTGATGCTGGCAAGCGTAATATGGTGGAGCGAGTGGCTGCTCGTGCAGTCACAGTCTTATATGGTGCAGGATAACCCTAGTAGAGAGCAAAGAGAGACTAACTATTATTTATTTTGTACTTCATACAGGTTTACACTTAAAATCTAATGTTAACAATAAAGATGATATAAAATATGTACTGTGATAACATCCAGAATACTCAGCAGACTGTGAACGCTATCTCCTGGTAGCACATCCTTTACTAATGGTTCAGTGCCATCCTGAAAATATAAATTTTAGTATAAAGATTGGGCTAAAACCTCTGTATACTTCCAAATTGGATCAATGGTTTATAAAACATCTATAATTCAGTGGAGTAAAATGAACTCACATTTTCATGTATACAGAGTTCTAGACGTCCATCCTGTACAACGTAGATACTATCATCATCATCTCCAGGTCTAAAAAGACCATCACCCTCCTGCAGTTCAATAAAGACCATGTGACGACAAAGCTCAAGGAAAAGAGGCTTCTCAAAATGGCCGAGGACTCTACAGGCATTGATATCAAGAATAACTATTTGAAATACAAGTTAAGATATTAAGGAGAAATAGCCTTTATTACATTTCAATAAATATACACTACCTGACATTTTTAAGCATATAAAGGACCTCAGAAGGAAGGTTGGAGCTTTGCACATCAAACTCTGTTAGGTCTGCCTCTAGAAGGGAAGGAGGTGGCTCTTTAGGCTGTAGAGTTGGAGGATCCTTCCGAATCCTCAAGATTCTGTCAACATTAATACAATTGGTTTGAAAAAACATGCAGAGAATTAGACATTAGACATGTCCATTATATAAAAAATGTACATACTTGCGCGCTATGCTTAGTACTTTGGTTCTCTTGCGTATCCGTTGTGATGACTTTGATACAGAAGTAGACGAGGGAGCAGGGGTAGATGAAAGTGTTTGGACCTGGGAGAATCACCAAACTTCAGTTACTTTGTAAAAAAAATTGTATTTGCATTATCATTGTGTTACAAACAGTTGCAACCTTTCGCATGATCTTTCTTCCATAGAATAGCACTTTATCTCTTTTCCTAAAGCGGTAATGCGGTACACCAGGCTGCTGTTCACCTGATACAATTTTTAGAAAGCCAGACAAAGAAAACTGTTGAAGCAAAGAGGAAAGTGTTATTTCAGCAAAAAAAAAAACTGGGAAGTAACTCACGAGCATGTCTGTATCTTCTGTAGAGAAAAAGTACTACGATCCCTATCAGTGTGACAGCCACTCCAGCTCCTATCAGCACGCCTGTAAGCTACACAAAACACATTTTAAATGTGAAATCATTGCAAAACAACTTAGACTTTAAGTGCCACAAATTACCATTGTAGTCTGCATCCTCTCTTCCACAAACTGTTGCACACGCTTTGCAAACTCATTTTTACTATTGACCAACATCTGAAAACAACAAATAATTAACACTTAAACCACTTTAACACAAATTCACGATAATATAAACAATTATAAATGTCCGCCAGAAACCATAGAAATTATTTACATATTTAAAATTGAGACTTTGAGCTTACATTACTGGTCCATCCACAGACGTCACTGTATTCATCCGAACCGTTGCAATCCATACTATAACACAAATGTATAGTGAATAAATCGCATTAAAAACATTGAAAGATCATTTATATTGTTGATCACGTGACATTGAAATAACATGTAGCTCAACATTAGCTAAACAGTCGTACTGTTGGAAAATGACCTGACAAACTCAAAAACACAATGATAACTGCATTCAGTCTTTATCAAAAGATGACTGAATCAAGTCTACCAACTGTGCAGCTTGATGTTGGCAAAACAGCAGACAAAACAGCAGCTAGCTAGCAGAAGTCCGTTGAACCCAGCCAGCTTTCTCAAACGACAGTCTATAGACTGTAACTATTAAGATGTAAAAGACAAACTTACATTTTGAGCATTTCATTTGTTCAGCTAAATGCGATCCCAATAGTGTCAGCGGTAGAAAGATTATCAAAGTTAGCAGGTAGCTAACAAAGTTTTTTACACTAACAACGACACCATCTTTGTCCCGCCCACATCAAATCAATCTACCAATAGACCGTGGCGATGCATGATGTTGCTATGATACCGAGAGCCCTCAGCCAATCGGAAACGCACAGAAAACTGAGCTTTTCCTCTGTTTACAATATTAAGCAGACCACCAGTTTAGATCATAGATTGTATGGTTAAATTCTTCATAAAAAGTGAAAAATGATGTAGAGTTATATGGTGTAAACCAGACTCATACCTTGCCTAATATGTTCTTTTATGGGATAGACCAGATTTTATAATGTTCAATAATAAGTTAGTTCTAGCTTTGTAAAAAGTTGGGGTGAACATCAAATAAACATATTTCATCTTGTGCAAGACTCAACCCCGTCCAAATCTAAATGGCAAAGTGGTTAACTGGCGTTTATTGCGATACAATCTAAAAATGAAGTGCAATACGGCCATTAAGAAGACTTGACTAAATATCATGATAATTGTATTATTTATTGCATTGGCTATAAGAAATCTATAGCTTTATTACATAAAAACAAGACAGTTATACATACAGATTTAACTATTTTTCCAGCCCCGATTTTTCCATCAGGGCTGTTGACCAATGCAGACTCTACTTATTTTTTTTATATATATACAGTTACAAAAAATAGTGTTATTTGTCCTAGTGAGTAGCCACAGTTGAGTATGCGTGCAGTATCTCGGCATCTTGGGGGCAGGTGTAGCGAAACTCCTTCCTTGCATAGGCATTTTCCATGTAACGTGAGATTCCTTTCAGGGCTCTGAAGTCAAAGTCACGGTATTTCTTACACACAACCTGCAGAAAAAACAATATAAAGCTCAAATTCCCAAATTTTTCCTTCCTGCATAATATAAAATCATATCTGGCTGAAAGAAACTATTTGCAAAAATACAGCAATTGGGTATAAATAACTGAGAAAAGCATACAATTATGATACAAATCTTACCTTGACGATGTTGAGTTTAGGAAGCAGGTTGCAGTCTGCCAAGGTAAGCTCGTCTCCATCCAGGAAGAGCCGCTTGGATTCTCTTAGGTTTGGATTCTGGTTCAACTCATAGTCCAAAGGAGTCGTCAAATATGTGTCCAACTTCGCAAGAGACCTCAAAAAATTCTTCTCCAGGTCTAAAAACAAAATGCACACAAATGAATGGGTTGTCTCATTACCATATAATTTAAGGCGCAAAGATATATGCTTACGGTCATGTCCACTTTTGGAGATCTTGATATAAGCAGAAAAAGTGCGGAAGATGTCTTCACCAGCAGTTTTGGATGAATTGTAACGACAGCACAATTTTGGATAGCTGCAGTGCATAAACAACTTTTTAACTATAACACTCTTTAATCTCACTATTTAGCAAATATGAGTCAAAACGCTACTCACTTTGGTGGTGCCAATGTCTCCTCCAAGAATTCCTCAATCTTGTTCGTGTCCGTTTTGACCTCCCCGTTGTAGAGGAGGAAGGGTGGCTGGGATCCAGGGGCCAAATTACTCAACACATAAGGAGCCCTAAGGCAAGGCAATGAATTGTCAGAATGTTTATAAGGAGATAATGACATATTTATTATGAGAGATTTGGGCTTTTTGGTGGCTTCTGAAGAAATTCTCTCTCCATTTCAAATTCTTGCAATAATATAATAGACGGAACAAGTTTTTTCTTCATATTTTATATTTTATCCTTTGTACATTGTTGGGTGATTCTCTCTCTCTCTCTCTTTTTTTCTTTTTTCCCTAATACATCTAATTCCATTCTGCTGTAGTTTCAAGAGTTGTATAATTGAATGACCTCTTGTGGATGATCCCTAATTGTGTTATTGTATAATGGGTATTCATTATGTTTATTTTTCTAATCACATCTCATAATCACAGTACAATGCAAACAAATATAAAAATCAGCTCAGTGAACCCGGCCTGGTTTCATGAGGTCATTTTAGGTATTGCAGCCATTTAATCAGATTAGATTGATAGACTGCTTTAATTTGTTGGTATGTTATGTTGCATTCAGATCTTTGTGTTGTTTTTGTTGTTGGTTTGTCATACCTCTTCATGTCCACTGTTGTCAAGGTAAAGTTGGCTCCTTTTAACCACAGAATCATGAAAAGCCTTTGACAGAATGGGCAGTTGCCAACACTTTCTGCATCACTGCTTGCCTGAAAGACAAAATCAGTCAGTCTAATTTGAAAGGACACTTATTATAATTACTCTTATCAAATGAATAAAACCCGCATTATATTCCGGTCTTGCCTGTTGTGCTCTGTTTAACCTCTAAAGAATTTGTGTTGAACAAACCTGTATTTATATCTGATCTAACCTGAGCCAGTCTCAGCCATCTATTTCGACATCTAAAAGAAGGACAAAGTAAGCCGATTTGAGGTTTTGCTCTGTGAGAAAATACAATTCATTTGTTGTATTTGCTATGTATTGTAATCATTTTAACTAATTTAAATATACTATTCATGGCTTCCAGCTTCCTTTTATAGGCAGCATTTGAGGATGTTTCACCATTCCAAATACAAATTGATATATGTAAAATTGTTTTATTTTGATAACAATCATTATTTTTCATCTTCATGGAGAGTCAGTCTGTCAAAACTTAAACTTAATAAAGACTGAACCAGAGCAAACCAAGGCAAAAAAATGTTAATCACAATCATCATCTTAATCACATTAAGACGATTACATGAAGTTATTGTTCAGTATAAATTAAGTTGTGTGCCAGGGTGGATATAGCCCATTTGGCGAAGCTATAGAAACATGTTATATATACATAATATTAACAGTGAATGTGCAGTCATTTTTTATTCATACAAAGATTGCTTTTCTATTTCTTTTTTTTGTTGTCGCGGTCATAAAAGCGGTGACTGTAAAGTATATACAAATTTGGAATACATGAAGACACATAAACTACATTTTACCTTGACAAAGAGCTCTATTTTGGGCTCTTCTGCCATCTTTATATCCGACAATGACGTGTCCTCAGGTCACCAATCTTACAAGTCCACAAAAGTGCTGCTGAGTCTGCAAAACAACAACAAACACTCATCACAGGGACATAACATGGGAAAGATTCAGAAATAATCAAATTAACTTACATTAGTAAAAAAAAAAAAAGTCTATCACCCAAGTTTGCACCTGTTCCTCTGTTTCCTCTTGGCGTTGTATGTGTGTGTTTTGAGTGTCAACCACACCTGTGAAGTGTCACACACCCTGTGGTACTACCAGTCTGACTTGTAGGTCTGGCTCTGCACTAAAGTCTTCCAGTATATTCTGTCCATGAGCTCTCTCTCCAGATCACCTCCTCCAGGCACTGCCATAACTGTTCTCTTCCTGTTGTCATAGGCCTTATTAGTTCAAACAGATGAAATATAGCTATTTGAGATAATATGCTGATGTACAATAACTACAAGACAGCGAATGTTAGTGAACAATAAAAGCATAATTCTGACAAACATACACATACATGCATCAGTGTGCAAGCTGGATTAGGTGTCTTGCCAAAGGACACAACTACATGATGTGCAGTTTGATACTGGAATCCAACTGCCAAGTCTTCTATGCAGCATGTGGGACTTTTTCCCTATTCGGTAGAGACATATGGAACAAAATCTAATCATTATACTTATTGTTACAGACAAGATGTTATGTTTGTAGGGGCAGAGGGGAGGAGGTGGTATAAGTATTGTCAATGTAGGCCTACTGATTTTGTGTTCGGAATATTGTTAGCTAATAGATAATCGGCATGTTCCTGAGATGGATTCTACATCTGTGAATTTTGTTTTGTGAAAATTATCAACAAAATAGCATATTATTAACACTAATATCCAACTCCCAATATGACATCATCTACTTACTACTAAACCAACAACAACATGCCACAGTAAATACCTTGTCTCGTCAGCAGTGTTGTATTTAGGTGTCTCCTGTCTCTTCACTAGTGTTTAAATCCATAGGCCTATACTTGAAGTGGTTGATCAGCATTCATTCGTGAAGCACTAAGAATGCTGTCATCTGAAAGGAATCCAACACAGACTATGGAGTTTCTGTGATTCAGAAAAACAGAGAGGTATAGGAAGAGGTACAGGGTTCGTATTTGGCCCTGTCTCAGTGGAGGCAGGAGCTATAGCTTTAAAAATATGGCAGTTTTCATATAAAATTGCATTACTTAGCTATCCACCTCAGAAATTTAGCATTTTCTGACATCATCTGTCATGTATTTACTGTAAAGGATGTTTTTAAATGTTATGTAAGCAATTATTTGTAAACCAACTGACGTTTATTTAGATTTAACCAGCACAAACTTGTATAGGGTGATCAGATTTTCTAATTTAAAAAAATGGGAGACCCTGGGTTGTGGTGGTTGGTAATAAATTGTGAAATGAGTATGTAATTCCATTCATAACTAACATGTGAGGCAGTATGGTCACATTTTCTCTGTGTTTTGGTCGTTTTTAAGCAGATATTTTGTATTTTACCTAAACAAATCTCTCTTTACTGTTAGCAGGTATCAAACTGGTCAAAAATAGGGACACCTGGGACATTTCTTGTATAAAACTGGGACAAATCACTGGTTTTGGGTAAATAGGGACATCTGGTCACCTTAATCTTGTAGCAATCTGACACAAACCCTCAATAGGCCTAAAAGATTGGCCTAGTTAGTAGTACAGTGCAGTGTAATTTTGTAAGTTATCAGTTGTCATCATCAGTTATCGAAAAACTGTAATGTTGGCTACGATAACAAAGTATAAACTACATTTGTCAACAATATCATTGTGCGGTACAAAACGTGTCTACGTAGCTCCCTCTTGTGGTGAAAATAGTAACTACTAAATAGTAACTACTTTGAGATTGAGAAATCGAATTTCAACTGCACCAAATCGAATCTGAAACGGGGATAGTTTAGGGTGTTTCTTAGGGTGATTTTGAAAATTTCAAAATTCTAAACTGGGACACACCTGGTTTGGGTTGGTTGGTATGAATAAAGTTGTGAAAAGAGTGTGTAAAATTTAGCATTTTCATGTCAGTCATAATCTGAGGGATTTCTGTCGCTGCATTTTTTTCCCCCTTTATGGTCGTTAGCAAACGGATTTCTGTATTTTGGCTGAACAAATTACAATTTATGCTCCTCTTTACTGTTTACAGGGATCAGATTAGTCATAAATTGTGACGGTCCTGTTTTAGTCCTGGTTTAGGCCTGATGTAGTCTTGATAAATTCTGGTTTAGATCAAGTTGGTCAAAAATACAGGCACCTGGGGCATTTCTTGTATAAAACTGGGACAAATCAATGGTTTTGGATAAATCTGCTGGGACAGGCGACACACGGCTCAAAAGTGGGACTGTCCCGGGTAAATAGGGACGTCTGGTCACCCTAAAGTAGTAGCAGGAGAATTGAGTATTGTTTGTTGACACTGATATTGTTGACAATAGAGAATAATCATTGGTCTCTGTTGTAGCATGTGAAACTCTCTTGTCTTGGGACATTTGCAGAGACTACTCTTTTGTCTTGAAATGTCAAGGCAACGTAAAAGAAACATATGGTTGGGTCATACAGAGAAGAGGATCTGACGTTGCTCTATTACAAATAGGCTAACCCTAAAATTGCCTAATGCTCATTTTAGTAGCATGCTATCTAGGCTACACCTTTCCGTTTTTCTGGGGTAATTTAATAAGGTCCATTTGACTAACATGTTATTAGCCTATGGGTTGTGTTGTAGCCTAGTATTATATAGCCTAATTGCAGGTCTGTATTTACATTTGCTTGTAGGTTTAACAGTCTTGAACATTATAATCCACAGTTATAACAATGAACCTAGGCACAATTTGGCTATTTTATGTTCAAACATTCCAAATGTTTCAGCAATAGCATATTTGTTCATGTGGTGAAATCGACTAGCCTAATTATATAATTGACATGGAATCGATTTTTCCTCAATAACATAAATTTTGTATAAAAAGCCAATAAGTGTTTTGTTTTAAAGATACACTGTGTATCTGAAAGTAGTTTTATTTATTTTTACTACATTTTTGTTTTTAGTTGTGACAGCTTACAGTACAAAGAACACACAGAGATATATATAGGCTAATTTTGGTAAACATCAGGCACTTATGCTTGCTTATGAAAAATATTTTAAATTTGTGTTTTCTTAAAGCAAACTAACTGATTTAAACTAAAAAAATTACTATTATTTTATTATATATACTGTATACTATTTTTTTTTTTTCCTTTCATCAATAACTGGCCCATGTATGCTGTCATGCTAATTGAATAAATGCAAAAGTAAATAGTAAATTCATTCCTGGCAGCAAATAGTCAATGGCTCTGCTCTTTTTCAGTATTTTTCTTACAGTAAGGGTGTAGGCATTATCAGAATGCTACTATAGCCTACATTCTCACATAGACGAGTGGTGGGCCACACCTCTGGTGTGTACTCAAATTCTACCTAAGTGGCAAAAGGTGAAGTAAGTGGCAAAAGGCAGAGTTATCTGATCTGTTCAGAACTGTAGAATGTATTTTGTCATATGCATCCATGTGAACCCTTTTGTGTTTATACACTGGAATGATGTCAGTTATTTATTTGTTAGTTTGGATGTCACACATCTCTTTGTGACTTTATTTGGGTGAGAGGACAGATGCAAGTCAAGCTCACATGCACCAACGGCTGACTGAAAAAATGGGTTCCTCAGTGGCATATAGCTAAATCTTTAACCACATCCTGTGTTGAGAAACATACACTGCTAAAAGGAGTAGCCTAGGATATTTTTTGCATTTAAAGATACAGTATGTAATTTTATGGAGATGGTAAATCACCTGGATGATTCCATGAAAATAGAAAATTAAAAACTATACATTCTCCCTAGATATGTGTATTATACTATACTGTGGAATATTATAGCCAAAGGAACATTCCAAAGAAACAAACATGCCCTCTCAAGAGTCAGATTAGTAGCAGTCCAGCAGGTGAAGTTTTTCAGTGCAATAAAACCATGCAAAATGAAAATAATAATAATAAAATAAAATAAATAAATAATATGTCTAAATGTAACGTATTTTGTTAAAAAGTTACATTACATACTGTGGCTTTAATGTAGGATTGCATTGGTTAAAAAAAAAAAAGGCTAAAATTATATTCAAGAAAGATGACATTGCTTGTATTTTAGTTCATGACACCGCCCAAAAAGCCTTTTTCAATTCTGATTCAAATAAAGGAAGCTGTGAGAGAGCAGCAGCCAAAGTCAAGTCTCTTCATGCTCTGATTCACATAGAGGAAGACAGGACACATGATGGTAAGTCCTTCGCTTCATTTAGCACTCAAAACACGATTCATCATTTTAAAGGATAACCCACAAAGAAGAAATTGAAAAGAGCAAGACTTTTGACACAGTTACATTTATTTCTGCATTATCCTCATGAATATTGAAATTGTTAGCAGAAGACATTGGGGGAAATGGGGAAACAAGTGTTTGTTTTGTCTTCTCTCTATATATGGTGTGGAGACACACCTCACAGATGAAATACTATACTCTGTCTGTTTACACCATCTAAAGCATAAACACAATTTAATCCCTCAAAGTACTATCCAGATCAAAGAAGCACCTATATAAAGTGCTCTGTTACAAATTATGTAAACTGTACATTTGACTATGACAGAGATCGGTAATATATGACAAGAGGAAGGAAACACATCACATCAAGATGATTATTTATTAAAATAAATTTAAATGATTGAACCTGGATGTGTAACTGGTGGTTTCATTTCTGCTTTCAGGCCTGTGGCACCTCCAGGAGGAATAAGAAAGTCCTCCTGTATCTCATCTTTTGTGTTGCATATATTTGTCTTCTGTACAGCTGGACTGGACATTTAAAAACTAGGACAAAAAATGGTACCTCTGCCTGTTCAAGTAGCAATCATACACCAGCCACCATTCTTCTTTGGCACTGGCCCTTCGGCAAAGCATACCCTCTCAATGGGAACGTGTGTTGGAACCTGTACAAGATCCCTGGCTGTAAAGTTGTGGATCAACACTCTGAGTTTTTAAATGCTGACATTGTTGTTTTCCACCAAAAAGAGCTGGCCTTAAAGAAACAAAAACTGCCATTGAACCTTGCGCGCCCGCTAGGACAGAGGTGGTTATGGATGTCTTTAGAAGCTCCACAAAACCATGGTAATCTGAGTCAATTTGCAAACCTCTTTAACTTGACCATGAGCTATAGAAGAGATGCAGATATCACACTACCCTATGGTGAGTTGCAACCACAAGATGGAGAAATAGAAGACTTTTCAATGAACAAAACCAATCTGTTGTGTTGGGTAGTTAGCAACTTTAAGAGTCGCCACAAGAGAAGTGAGGTTTACAGAGAGCTCAGTGCCTTTGTCAAGATCACAGTATACGGTCGCTGGAAGAATGCCCGCCTACCTTCTGCCAGTCTGTTGCCTACTATCTCCCGCTGCTACTTTTATTTGGCGTTTGAAAACTCAATTTCTAAGGATTATATTACAGAGAAGCTGTGGAGGAACTCGTACCTAGGTGGTGCAATTCCTGTAGTGTTAGGGCCACCAGTTGAGGATTACAAAGCCGTAGCCCCACCCCATTCTTTCATTCATGTTGATGATTTTGCCTCAGTGAAGGAACTAGGGACTTACCTGCAGGAGCTGGCAGCAGATAGGGAGAGGTACCAAGAGTTCTTCAGGTGGAGGCAAAAGTGGAAGGTGAAGCTGAACACAGACTGGAGAGAAAGACTTTGTAAAATCTGCACTAAGTATCACTGCTTACCTCAGCAGAAAGTGTACTCAGACTTAGATGCATGGAATAATGGATGAAACATCTGCACATTTTTGTTTTTGTATCTGAAACCATTCTTACCTTGACTACAATTTAATTGTTTTCTGTGTTATATTTTGAAAAAGACTGACTAATAAACTATGTTGTGAATAGTATGAAACTGAAAAGTTTGGAGACCAATGCAACAGAGCAATAATTTGAGGAATAGAAAAGGACTATTTAACAAAAACATGAAGTAGATAACTTTTCATGGTCATATCTGCTTGCCAATGGACTCAAACAGGATATTGATTTAAAATGTTTATTTGATAAAATGCATTCATTGCACAGACCTATTCTGTATTGAAACATATGACATGCTTTTATTTTAATCTGTTCAACCAAATGATATACTGTTCTCACTATGCATCTCAGATTGTGTTTTAATACACTTCATAGCTCTACACATTGTATTCAACTCTGTGGTTAGCCTGATAAAATATTAAAGAAACCATGCATAGAAACGTGCAAAGAGTTTACTGTCAATTTCATATGTGAAGACCTGAACAGCAAGTAAAAAGGCTGCAGAGCAGACAACATACCTTTGTAGCTGCTCCACTGTTTCAATAAATAATTTAAGTCCATTTACAGTCTACTGACAAGTGTCACAAAAATGACAGCTCACACACAGTAGTAAGGCACTCAGTTTTTCCCATTAGCTTTGACACATGAGGTCAGATGAGGTAGATTTCCTGCAAAATCAGCAGTGAACTTTTAGCATGATATAAAAAAAAGTTAAAAAGGCACCTGGCATCTATTCGCCTTAGGAGGTTGCACTAACACTTCAAAATGCTTTTTGGACTCCAAGTTAATCAATGCACATTTAGAATCACATGTTTAAAATACAGCTCTTCATTTTGTGCAATACTGTTCAATGTCATTGCTGCAAGAGCTCATGCTGAACTACATTTATAAAAATGCCCATTGATCAAATAAAAAAACCAAGTACAAAACAAAATTTTGCTTTCCGATTCCCTCCCCCTCCCCCGTGCATGCACCAAAGTCTGTACAAGTGTTTAACAATTAAGTCATATCCTCAATCACACATGACTTTGCATCTGATGTGGGTGTATGCCCTGAACAGAATTGAGCCTCCTGTAGTCCTGTGGTCTGAGTTTATCCTGTCAGGTGGCCCACCAGGCCAGGGTGCATGGCCTGCTTTAGTACATCTGGCCTGTGCAGAGAGGGCATGTATAGTGCAGAAGTGGCTCCGGTGTAGCTAGGCGTAGCGTAGCTCTGGTTAGGGATAGGAGAGGGTGCCATGTTGAGAGGGTGGCTCTGCTCATAGTACTGCCCATCACACTCTTCATCTAGAGGTAGTGCCAGCCTCTTCCCCTTCTGCCTGCGATTACAGAACCACACACGGACCACCTGGGAGAAAAAAACAAAACAAAAGACATTATTCAAACTATCCAAGGTAATGCACACAATAGGCAGCACAAAGATTTGCACTTACATCTCTCTCCAGCCCCAGGTCATCTGAGATGTGGGTGATCTCTTGTGTGTTGGGTTTGGGACATTTGACAAAATATGTCTCCAAAGCTGAACGCACAGCTCCCTCCAAACTTGTCCTCCTTTTTCTCTTTCTGGTGTCCACAAACACACGTTCAATCTTGTACATCTGGAGAATTGGTGTATCATTAAGAACAGTTAAAAAAAAACTGGGTGGCACAGCACATTTTCACCCAGTGGCGCGTATTCTTCAAGTAATACTTACATCCTGTGGATTTTCTGAAGTCTCTGCTTCATTCAGCCATCTCTGAAGCAATGGCTTCAATTTGCACATGTTTTTGAAACTCAGCTGTAGAGCTTCAAAGCGGCAAATGGTCGTTTGGCTGAACATCTTTCCTGAGGGGAAACAAACCAGATTTAAAAAAACAAAAAGCACGTATTTAAAAACTTTCCCAAATTTCCCTATGGGAAAAACAAAACAAAAAAACAACTTACCATACAAGTTCCCCAGGGCCAGTCCAACATCGGCCTGCGTAAAGCCCAGAGTGATGCGCTTGTGTTTGAGCTCTTTGGCAAACTGCTCCAGCTCCTCCGTGGTGAGGCTCTCCTGTATATTGCAAATTGCACAATGTCATACAGTATGCATTTATTACAGCGTAAACCGTTAGCATTTCCCTTAATTGCAGTATTATTTGTCTTACCTCCTCGGAGTCGCTGCACCCGCCGCTAGAGGAGCCGCTGCTCCGGCCTGATGAAGTTGGATTCTGGCTCTGGTGCCCGGTGACACCCTGTGTGGGTGTCCCACTTCCGAAAAACGCATTCCCATTATTGCCACTGCTCGGGGGAGAAGGGGACATGGATGGAGAAGACGCGGAGGACGGTGTTGACGGATTCTGGCCGCTGCTGTTGTCCCGGGGCGTAATGTGGGCAATCCCAGGCCAAAAAGACGGATTCCAGGGTGCAGAGTAAAAGACTCCATGAGACATGGTGGGAGGGTTGGGGTACTGCTGAATCTTCACCTCGGCAGAATACTCCTCCTCGCTGTCCTTTTCCACCTTGATGTCGGGCAGTTTGACCTGTGGAGTCTGGGCGATTGGTGGACTCAGGTTGGCTGGCTGTGTCGCGGTTGCTGCACCAGGGACCTGGCTCACGTAGTCGGGCGCTGCAAAAGGGTACCAAGGTTTGGGCTGCGCCAGGTCAACTGCCTGCTGTTGGTCTGATCCACGGTAGTCGCCTCCCATCGGGGCAAAAGGAAAGAAAGTCTGCGAGGGGATTCCTCCGTAGGCGGACTTGTTGTAGAGCAGGTTGGGGTCCGCCAGGAGTCCGGGTGGTATCTGGAAAGACTCTTGCCCCACGCCCTGTGGGCACAGGTTGGCTCGGCTGAAATCGTATGGTCGAGTCTGGCACTCAGTCGCGGGGCTCTGGGATCTCTCAGACATGTTCAAGCGACACCAACCAAACACCAGTTAAAGTGGTGGGTCAGTCACTTATTCGTCCAAAACCAAAAAAGTAGAATCTTTCCAGGCACTATTTGGCTTGTACAAAAATATTAAAAGAAAGAAAAAGATAACCTTTTCCAAACTCCCAGAAGAAACAAATTTTGGAGCCCGAACCTCACCGGTCTGAAACTCAGCAAACTCCTCGGCTTAATCCATAAAGTCCACTGCTCTTGTGTCTTGCATCCAACTCAAATGTGGAGCTCAGCTCTGACTCCACAGGTTTTTCCAATCGCAGATGAGGAGGTGTTTGACGATACCTTCTCTCTGCGCTGATTGGCTGACCGGAACAATTGCTCACAGCTGACGATGAAGTTGTGAGTGACCTTGGTTTTTTCCCCTCAATTAGTATGCGGCTCCAGGCCAAAGAAAATACTTTGTTTTGAGTCTAATAGCAGATTATTTAGCGTAACAGACCTACAGTATAGCTTTTGCACGCCATATGGGTAAAGAATAGGTTCGCATGGTCTACAGTTATCACATTTAAACAAATCAAACTACTACTTGTCTAATGTATGTTTTGCGAGAGAAGCTGGGCTTTGGCTTTGGCATTAAAATCGATGTAGTTGTTAGCCTAGACCTAGCCTAGTAGAGGCATGCTTCTAAATGCGTACGTCTAGAGTCAACAGACCCCAGTATTGTCATTATAATGTTTCATTGAAATGTGGGCCTACTTTGTCTAAGACCAATCGGCACAACGTCTAACTTTTTCAATTTCAGGCAATAACGGGGCAATTCGTGACAGAAACGACTGGAATTATCGCAATAATGCGGACATTGCGCGCGCTCATTATGATGACAAGGACTCCTATTTGATGAACAAAACACTGCTGCGTTTCAACATCTGGATTTTAGACAGTCCATTAAATAAATATTGCAATGTTGTAACACAACTATAAATTTGTCACCAAACAGCATGCGTAATGGCAGCATTTTTCGACACCTTAGCACCTAAACTGTTTAGTGATGGACCTGTTTTTGTGATTAGGTTACGTGTTTTTGTCTGCAGTTGCATTACTGATGAGTTTATTGGTGGTAGTCCCTACAATAGCCTGGGCTTGTGCAGATGCGCGTCCCCTTACGTTGGCCAGAGAATGCAGCAGGAAGACGCACTGCGGGAGGAGAGAGGGGGACAATTGTGCCTCCTGGCCTCGGGGCACCCCGTGGAGTCAGATCCCAGGTTGCGATGGCCGGCCATTAGCTCCTTTTCAGACTGAAACAAAACGTCTGAAGCCTTTGATTCCGCCCCACTCCCACCTCCCCCCTCTCTGAAACAAACAGCAGACTGGTTTCACTCCGGTCTGCGCTGCCTGGACCCAGAGCGCACATTAGAAACCACCAACCAGTCCGGCAGTGTGTGCCGAAAGTAGAGAGAGAGAGAGAGAGAGAGATAAAAACAAAAAACAAAAAAATAAAATAAATTATAACTTTAAAAAAAGTGTGTGCAAATACAAATTAGCTTATTCAATATAATCTTGTGTGTGTCCTGACACATAAAATATGTAAAATTTTCCTATAAGTTAACTTTGCAAATCGCAGGGAAATTAATATGGAGTATTGTTTCTAATCTCTACAAAGATACTGCAGATCTTTGTGGGATGGAGGAGCTAGTCAATGACTTAAAAGGCACCAAACCACACCTCAACAAGTATCATTCTGAGCCATGGACTTGGGGTGGTTTTGTCATGCAAAAGCAGAGAGAGAGTGGACATGGGGGGCAGGTTGAATAGGTACAGTGAGGAGGAGATGTGTCAGGCGGCTATCCAAGGACTTAGCTCAACCCCCCTCAGATACAGGCTCAGATTTGCTACTTGGTTCTTTTTAAGTGGTCTCTTGAGCACATCTGTTGTGAGCTGTGAGCCAGGCCCAGTCAGAAAGAGAAAAGTGCAGGCATGATGAAAGAAAAGCAGCTCTGGATGTATCGCACTGTTTGACTCCAGAGAGAAGAGGCACCAGGGGGCTGGTTTGTTTCTGTCATAGGTTTAGACCATGTTAATGATGCTAGCCAAAGACAAAAGCCAGAGATTGAACTTGTACAGAGAGGAGGATTGCCAAAAGTTGTACTCATCTGAATCTGAATAGAGTAGTATTGCATTTGTGAGTAACTATTTTATATCAGATGTTTTAGTGAGAAGAAAAAGGTGTGCAAATAAATATAAGTTTAACAAATTAGTGCAAATAAGTTAATATCACCAAACCAATAAATGAAAATTTAAAAAAATGTCAAATCAAACTAAATTAGATCATGTTGATTTAGGAAGAATTGTAACAACAGAAATCATTTACCTTTGAAAATAATTTAGTTTATATTTGTCCAGAGACAGGTTTATGTGCAAGTTAACTAAAATACTATGACAATGTAGCAGTATATAAGAGCTGCTGAAAACCAATATTAACCTCACAGCCCTTATATTATTTGAAAGTAACTCTAACGCATATTCTACAAACATGTACAAAAAGTTAACATAAGTTGAATGGTGGTTTTGAAATAATAAATGCACAATAATGCAAGAGCTGGCTAGAAAATCTCATGCATATTGATTTCCTTTTAAAAGTTTCTAGTACCTCTGCACTTGGTTTCTGTTTCTCACCTAAGATGATGTGCTGAACTGAGGGTGGAAGTGTAAGAACAAGATAACTAAACATGGCAACAGAATAGGTTGCAAATAAAATGCAAACAGAAATACTGAGTAATATGTAGACTAGGTCTGCAGTTAACAATTATTTTAGTAGTCGACTGGAGTTTTTTCGTCTAACTATTATTTATATTATGCATTTTACAAACACATTTTAACCAAATTAAGTTTGAAAATCATAAATTCTTTACTCTATTTTGCTATTTATGAACAGGCACCATGCACTGACAATGAACAACTTAACTTGTTAAAACATCAGGTCAAAAATGTATTTCTTGTTTGTGCTCCAGAGATCGGGTAAGAAGATGAAGGGTAAACGGTCTAATGCTCTAATGGGGTGGGTTGTGATGTTATGGTGGGCTGAATGAGGATTTTATTCCTTGTTTTGAATCTTTTTGCATGTCTATAGTCCAAATCAGTGATGGAAGGTAACGAAGTACAAAAGCAAAAGTACAATACTTATGTACAATTTTTAGGTATCTGTACTTTATGATTTTATTTTTGATACTTTTTTACTTTTATGTCACTGCATTTGAGAGCATGTATCTGTACTTTCTACCACTTTCTATTTTCAACCAAATACACAAAACAATTAGAAAGTTTAAGAAATCAACTGAATCACTTAAAATAAGACATTTAAAAAAAAAATCCAAATCAATACATTTGATGCATAAATTTTCTAAAAATCTCTGCAAAATGCTTTTAATTTTTACTCTTTAAGTGCATTTTAGATTATTTTTTTCATGTGAAACTTTTAGTTGAGTAATCTTTTGCCCTTGTGTCTTTACTTTTACTTAAATAAGAAAACTGAGTGTGTCATCCACTACTGGTCCAGATAATGATTATGATTATCAAAATATAATAAAGAGTTGACTACCTGTGATTATTCCAATTAATCATTGTGGCCCTTATGTAAAATACTGAACACTGTGACCTTCTGTAGCTTTTTTGCTTTCCAGTTTAAAGTTTTCAAACCCAATTTCTCAAGAACAACTCCCCTTCCTCTCAAACGGGTCTGATGGCTTTTTGATTCTATCCTAACAACCCTGCGTGGTGTTTTTGACCTCACCCACCACCCACCCATGAGTGCCCCCCCCCTCATCGTCCAGACCCCCACAAAAGACCTTAACGGCTGGCAGCATGGAGCCCAGCGAGCACAGGACAGAGACCACTCCCTGAACACACATCAGTCCATTCTCACCACCCCTAACACCTGCAGACTTTCTCTGTGTTGTTTCAAAGACACAGACACTATCGTCAACACTGTACTTGTCAAAGGAAGATATCACTGGCTCCTTAGTATGAAACAACAATTTAAAAGAAAAAAGATGAAAGACCAGAGAAATGCTATATCATTTCATTATTCACAAACACTTTGGTTCAAACGAATCGGAAAGTAAAATGCATTTGTTTTGATACCACTAGAGAATCTAGCTAGTGCTACTTTTCAAATACTGTTCAAGAAGGCCAAAATTTGTTTTACTACATGAACATAAATTATTATTATTGCATAAGCATTCGTAATTACTTTTCTACAATATTTCATGATGGCAAAGATAAAATATTGAAATACTGTAGCAATAGAAACAAGCAGGAAAAGGTCCAGGACAAGTAAGTTGTGCAGATGCAACCTCACTCATAGTAAAAACATTTTTCAGTGCAATAAACACAACAAAAATGAAAACAAAATACAAGCTTTTATTCAGCCTATTTTTTGCTACATACTGTAGCTTTAGGAATATGCATGTGCTCCACAGAACAAACACACAAAGTAGTATTCAGAAAATAAGGACAACATTCGTCACTGAGTTTGATATGTGGTAAAAAGTTTTATTTCCAGACCTCAGTGTGCATGTACAAATATCTATAAAAAGTGAATGCTTTCACTCTTTTTGTATGTACATTCTGCAGCACTAAGTTAGCTTTGGATGGACAGGCGAACAGGGGAGAGAAAGGAAACATTGTACAAGATAGTTTACTGGCTACACCATCACCATATAGACTGATATCTGGCTTTAAAAGTGCTCAGAGTTCACTTTACATTCCTCCAGCAACAATACAAGATAGGAGGCAGAAGCATTGTTCCAAACACTGTACAGTCAAACCATGCAACAGACATCATCAAGCACTTGCTTTTAAAAGAATACCCATATACCATTATAATGCATACAGAAATAAAAAATAAAGTGTTTATTTGTGGGATGTTGCTGGGTATCTGTTAGGAGAGAAGTGCCAGAAATGCATGACAAAAGTATAAGGAGTACACCTGTTTCTCAGCTTATGTAGGTTTTGTTACACATTCTTTGGAAGTAGCTGCAAAAATAAGGGTATTTGTTGTAGTGGAAAAGTCGCCATTCATAGAAAGATAAAACACCATTAAAATCGACAAGAAAGTGAAATAAATTAACAAGCTACCTACTATACATAAGTGGATTTATAAAAGCGGACAGATAAGGGAGAGAGGAGACATTCAGGAATCAGCTTATGTCCTCTGCCACAATTTTGATTATCGTGCATGCAGTGTCAAATCAAGTGGTTTTATCCCATGAGCATCCTTATGTGTGGGTCCTTTTTGCATTCACTTGTGATTGCCCTGATATGGTAGAGTCGAGTCATCAAATAAAGGGTTCTTCACTTCCATTTCTCCAGTCTGTCAGGAAAAAGCAAAACAAAAATGTATGAGGATGACAAGCAGGTGTAAAAATAAACATATTAGGACAAATTATGGATAACTTTATTTAAAAAGAGATGTATAGATCTCATAAAACCAAACTGGATCCTGAAAAGCAATTGGGGTTCAACATTTTGCCTAATTTGAAAATAGGACTAAACTAAAGGATCAAACCTAGTCTAAACCTGAACATATTGAGGTCTTAAGATGATTCAAAGTGTCCTCACCGGGGCAAGTCCAGGACATTCATACACTGTGAAGTCTCCTCCCACTTCTTCCTCATCTGACGTGACATCGGTGTCAACAGCTTTCGCTTCAGGCTTTTGTCTTTAAAATAACAGACACACATCACATGTTAGGGTAATGTGAAGCAATGTGATTAAAAAGATGTTGAAACAAACAAACAAACAAAAAAACAGGAAGTGACAAAATGTCACATTAAAGATAAACAATACTAACTTTCCCATTGACAGCATCTGCTGTTTCTGATGCTGATAGTGGAACATTTGAGCATTGTGGGCCAGGGTATGATCAAGAGGCTGCAGACAAAAATTTTTAAAATAAAATTTCACTGTAATTATTAAATTTCTAGGAAAAACAAAAACATTTTAAGAAATCGAGGAGTTGTGTACTTACTGCAGGTCCGTTGACATTCACAGGGGCAACAGTAGCCCCTCCAAATGCAGGGTAGTCCACCTTCTCAGTTAGGCGTGAGTCTCTCTTTAACCTGCAGGGGGCACCATACACCTCAGTCTTTTACAACACATTGCAACCACTTTATGCTATCTATCTATTTCATCAAATCGGATGAACACTTGCAAAGCATCAATGTGGGAAATATATGGAAAAAGGAGATACTTACTTAACCGCACAGACAGCTGCCAGAATCACTGCCACTGTTCCTACTACCACACTCAATGAGATCATGACTAAAAACATAGACAAAACAAAACAGGTTAGTTAGCCTTTAAACACATAATTATCACTATACATTTTGCTATTTAAGAAACCATAATATTTAGCACTATTTGGCTATTTCCTTTGATTTGGGGGTCACGACATGAATCCAGCACAACGCAACACCCTTCATACTGTAGGGGTAGTCAACGTGAGGGAACCCAAGAATATGAAATAACATTTTCTAAAAGTCTATGGGGAAAAATTAGGAATTTCACTGTTCAGTGTTTATTCCCATGGAAGGAAAAAGGAAGAAATGTACTCACTGATAATAATTTGGTCTCCTCTAGCAGCTGGAGTTACTACTACTGGATCAAGTCGAGGTGCCACACTGGGTTTGGTGGTAGGCTGTAGAGTAGTTTTATCAACCAGGCTTATGTTGACAGTTTGCACATTTGTGATTTCCTCTTTGGAGGCAAGTGGAGAATGTGGTTGTGTTGTCCTGATATCTGACTGGAATGCGATAGCAGCTGAAAAAAAAATGGCTGGTTATTTACAAAAACCTAAGTATTTATATAAGATGTACTAAAATATAAGTTGTTGCTCACCAAAATGTTTGGATTGTTTCTGTTCTGGTCTAAATCCTGACTTCTCCACTTGTTGTTTTTCAATGACGGAGCGCAGCAAGTCAATCTCCTCATCTAGGTCAGGGTAAACTTCAAGAGAGAAAACATTTGCCATATTATTAGGTACATTTTGACCAATCAAGACTGTATCAGTGTATTTACAAATAAACATATGATGGATGAAGAATGAATCAGAGTTATAGGTTGTGGGTGTGCAACATAATTTAAACACCTTTTATTAAGTAACTGTGCCATATTTAATAAAGCTAGCATTTGCAGTAGTTTTGGTAGTAGTAGCAGTACAATGGGTGTAATATTGGAGAAGATTTTGCAAACTGACAATATTAGTAATGTGTCAATACAAGTGTGTCTCTACTTAGCATTTTCTGCCACTTGTTGCCTATTGTTTCACATTTGCATCCCCCTCTATAGCCTTTTTTATGCCTGTAGAGTCCACCCATGTGTTTTTCAGAGAGCCGTCTCTGAAATGATGAACAAGGAGTGTGTCCGTGTGTTGTTTGTTTGGAAGCTGGTAAAAAGGCCAAGACAATACAAATGTGCTATTTAAAAGCCCTATAGTCCAGACAGATCACCGCATTCCTATAGCCTGCCCCAGCTCTCCAGGACGATGGGGGAGAGGGAGGGGGGAGTGGTGCGTGTGTGTGGCCATGGGGGGCACTCACAGTGGGGTTCTGAGCTATCAGCCAAACCCTGACTTCACTGCTGCTCTGACAAAAGAGTCCATAGCTCATTGCTAATGGAGGTGATCAAAGTGCTGTTTCTGTCTGAGATATTGGTATGTATGTAGTCCTTGGCTTCAGAATTTGTAAAAGAACACATACCTTCATCAAAAGAAAAACTATGTATCACTGTAGTTGTGTGGTCATCTCTGGTGGATGAAATAATAATTAAAAGGCATAACAACGCAAACTAAATGTAATGTTTTAGTTCTGATTGATTCCTGTATTTCCACACTTAATTGCTCTAAAGTCAAAGGAATTAAAAGTATTACCTTCGATGAAACAAAATGGCTAAATAAACAACTGTCAAGAGTCTGAAATTTAAGTTACCCAAATTTACATATTCCTGCATGCACCCACGTAACGTTAGTGCTTACACTGTCACTTGGCTGCAGAAGGCTGGCCATCTGGCTGTGCTAATATGTTTAATATGACGTGCCAGCACTTTCACTGCCTGTTTTGTTGTCCTCTTACCCCCCTCTACTAATGGCCATTTAGTGTGCTCCATAGCAGGTGTCTGTGGAGGCGGGGCACACCATCTGTACGTTGTAGGTGGGTGCGAACTCCAACAGAGCTGCCAGAAATTAGTTAGGTACTGTGATTAGTGATGACAGATAGTGTTGAGTGTTATAAAGTTTTGGTCGTACATAGATAATTACACTGAAAAGGAGAGCAGGTTGATATGATAATAACAAAATGCAATAAGTCTGATGGATTATTTATTTATTAGTATTAATTAATTAATTTATATTATTAATATGGGGTAGCAGGATTCAACATTCATCTGCGTATCATGGCACCTAAATAAGAATAAAACAGTAAAACATAAACACACAGTAATTTTGGCCTACCGTTGATATTGTAGTCACATATGCCTAACATATGATATTAAGCATTTTTGTTACCTATCAATAAAAACATCACCTTAAATGGGACAGGGTAAACTATGGGTACCACAGTGTTAATCCTTCACACGTTCAAAATAGTAGTAATTGTGAGTATGTGTGCACTTTGACGCAGTGTGGCTAATCGTGCACACCCCTCCGGTGTCCTATGTCTTGTCACGTCCATGATAATGACCTATAACCTCTGGAGATGTGCCCGGAGGCGAATGGGCTACCACTAACAAACGCTAAACAGCCCAGTGGGGGACCATGCATCTGGGCAATCACCTCACTATGAACCCATTTACAAGTCCCTAGCCATTAGCCATCTATCCCTTACAGCCAACATATAAACTGTGTCAATAATATATTTTATATATTTTATATATCTATATATATATCTATATATATATATATATATATATATCTATATATATATATATATATATATATATATATACTATATATATATCAAATCAAAGACATTTGTAAATAAACACAAGGTACCTTTATTTAATGATGGCATAGCAATGGCAGCAACTGAAGCAATTACACAAAATACTTAAAATGTTAATATATGGACAACATTGGTGAGTAAATTCAATTCTTGTTGAGAATCTTCTAACGCCAGCACACGTTCCCGAAGTGCTACTCCTGTCGAATCACTGCCCTCTAGTGGACATTTGCAAAAAACACAATGGCTTCTGTCTGCACTATTTTGATATCGCTGAAGTTCACAGATTTTAGTCTCACACACTAACAGACAAAACACATTCTATAATATACCATGTATTTGTAAACATGTCTTTTAGTAAATGGATGACCTTAATCTATATTTGGTAAAGTATGCACTTTATCAGATGATGAGTCAGAGGTCAGTCTGTAGTTTTTCATCTTTACCTGCACTGCCTTGAGTCAATAGAATAATATTGTCAAGAAAAGTTCAACCAGCGTCAAAAGTCATTGAATGTGGATCCTTTCTTTTTAAAAACTTTTCAGGAAATACTTTTGCAATATCCTCCTTTTGGCATTCGATAATATACAACAGGTAGCATTGTTGTTTACATAGCAACAATTAAAACTAAAATTTTAACTATGGCAACATGCAGTGTGATATATTGAAGTGGCACCCTTGGTAAGCAATTGCTGTCAATGGATAACAAGGTTAATTTAGGGTTGTTAAAGAATTGATACCCACACACTAATCAATAATAAAACTGGTATTGAAAGTAGAGAGTTATTTAAACAAGTATCTTTACTGAAAAATGTCACATAAATTTACTTTCCTGAGAAGTTTTATTGATCTGTATCAGAAATAATATAAGATCAATAGGTAACATTAAAGAAACTGCAATTATGATGTGTTGAAAATTGCATTCTATTGTTTAGAGTTTAAAAATATACTGTATATTATTGTGTTATTGAAAGAGATATTGAGTACTGAGCCTTTTCCTTAGTATCTTTTTTTATTTTAATACCAGTTCAATCTTGGCATAGCCCTCTCCAGTCATAGTAATATGAACTGTTGTGACAACAGAGCTATTAATAACAGGATACTGGAAACATATATTGTTGTGTCTAGAAGGGTGGGAAAAAAGTATGACTTATTTGCTGTGGTGGCCCCTGACAAAAAAATAAGCAAATGTAAATGTTGAAATAAAGTGCAAATAATAAATACATACATATAGATTAGATAATTTGGGGGCTGTTGGGTGTTGAAACATGATGTAACATTTGGAGCGGCCATTGTCGATACTGCATAGGTTCATCCTTGAGTCCATATATTTCATATGGACAGGGATAATCCCACTTGTGTGCATCGACGACTGTATGTTTATGCTTGAACAAAGAACACTGCCTTGAGGCATAGTGTTTACCATTGGGAGCACACACCTCAATAGCAAATAGCAGCAAGTTCCTCCTCCAGGAAAGGAATGACGGCTCTGTATTCTTGCTTCATTACATTATATATGAGAGTTGGTAAAATTGTTAGATGAGGGCCATATAACAGAGAGGGATGTCATTTAAGAGTGTGGGAAAAGTATACAGGCCTAATATAGTATGTATATTATTTAAGAACTGAGAGCTAAGATAAACTGTATACCCTTGCTACAATACACTATCATCAATTAAACAACCATTCACAGTTAATTCGTGGGAGATTTTAACCTTGTGAAATGTAAGGAATATATAAGTAATAATACATTTATAAAAGAATGACAATGTTAGTTGTTAAAAAAATCATACCCAGATACAAATTTATGCCAAAACTGGTATAGATACTATAAGACCACATGGTAACCTTAAAGAAACTTAATATAATTTACAACACGATTATAGTATCTAAAACGTTTTCATTGTGATATTGAAATTGATATCAAGTATCACGCCTTTTCTTAATGTCAAAATTTAGTTTGAAATAAGCATCCAAACAAGGCACCATCGATTCTGAAGAAAATGTTATTTTCAAAATTGCTTATATGTTAGTAATTAACTAACTTAAACCTATCACATACAACTGGAGGTGGTAATGTGAAGTAATCAGCACAAATAAGGGTTTGAAGCACTATTTAGTGTGACTTTTAGATCCACTGACATGCAATAAAATATAGAATAAAGGGGCTTGAGAAACTGGCCTTATAGTTGAAGCCATAGCAACTTCAAAATCTTTAGAGCTGAATATGATATGAAATTTAACTGAGCATATAGGAGAAATATCAAATTTGCAGTCTTGGCTCCAGATGCCCTGATGCCACGTAATGGAAAACTCATATTTTCTTCATTTTTCAATGTAATGAAGTATAGCTTGTAACTATTGAAACACACAAAAGGAATACATTACACGTCCAAATCTGGCTATTAAATTAGACAACAGTCATTTGCTATTTTCCATAAGCCATCACACTAAACATTCTAACTAATTACATAAGGAAGCCGTTATGAGCTCTTGTCTCTATAACAACAAAATTAATTACATTTAGAGCGCATGATACTTGCTGCTGTGTACACCCAATTGCTTTAATAACCTCTAATCATTTTTCCATGATAGACCAATAACACATCCTCCACCCATTCTATATTTTTTCCAATAAAAACAAGATGTCTTCATTTAGCCTGTGCTCTTTGGCAGGATCACATTATTATAAAGAACATGCCATCAGATGCTAGGAGAATTAATGTGCTCATGTTTTTGAGTGTGACCGTGCTGTTGCCATGCGGATACCCTTTATGTAACCGCTTATGGAGATTAGCAGAGGAGCTAAGAGCTACTATGAGCAGACCCAAACTCCCTGCATCACCTAAGAGTCGTGTCAAATGTCTGACCATGAACAAAACTATAAATCCACTCCCCACAAATACGCCACTTTGCAGAATTAGCTTTAGCCGCAGCCCACCACTCTCATTGCCTTCTCATGTTTACCTCTGGCCGGGTCAATATCTCATGCCAAGTTCACCCTGTAGCAACGTCATTTCAGTTATTAATCCTGCAGACACCAACATGCAAAAGCAGTTCTGCGCGAAGAGAGGCTGTGAAAGAGGATTGGCCGATGGACAAAATACATACAAACTACACAGAGTTTCACACATAAATCAAACTAGAAGCATTGTAAACATTTGAGAGACTTTGCAATGTTAAACCCTGGACCACAAAATGTGTATAATTCACAAGTTAAAAACAAAACAAAACAAAAAAAAACATTAAGCTTTAATTAAGTGAAGATAAGTTTTTTTTGTAGAATTATTGCCATCTTAGCCCTCTTGTCACTGGATAGAGTCAAATTGGGACCAAGGGCATGTCATCATCTAAGTGATTAAAGGCTTCATGTGCGGGGGTGGGACGTGCCGGTGTGTAGGTGGATTAAGAAAAAGTAGATCAGCAGAAATGAGAATGCAGAGAGTAGAGGGTGGAAACAGCATAGGCGAGAAGAGAGAAAAAAACAATGAAAATGGAAAGAAAAAAAAAAAAACATAAAAGGTATCAAGCTAAGATGGATGGCGGGGCAGACAAATCAATAAGTTAGAGAGGGAGGAGGATTTAAGGAAGAAAGGAGATTTGTGCGAAAGAATCAAAAGATCAAGTAAAGATGTGCACTGTCAATTATAATGAACAAGATATGTTTTTTATGTTACACAAGTGTGTCATGAAATGTTTTAATATACAGGCTGAATGATTTATGTATGAAATATTTTATGTGACCAAAATGGTTCATATTTGTCTTTTAGGAAAATTTACTGTAGAAGGAATGAACATACAAATACATATGATGTTACAAATAAAGTATATTTCTCTATCTTTTACAGCTGACCAAATTCAAAGTCAAGGTTTATGTATTTTGGATTGGTAAATTGACCTAAATTCAAGCAAAAGTAAAACTGTTGCGGAGAGGTTTTAGAGGCAGGCACTCCAAAGAATAAACAAAATTGGCGATCAAAAGTACATATTTTACTGTGGAGCTTCAATCAATAAATGTGTCAGCTAGAGTTGCGAAAGGGAAGTTAGAAGTATACACTCAAGATTTATAGTGCAAGCAAATATTATTTATAATAGTGGACAAATACTTTGCTCCTCTGATGACAGGTTTACTATCTGTCATTAGAGTCAATGTGACCAATCTAAATTTCTTGACTGTGAGCCAAATCACACACCAATTATTTTAAATTCATAAATGAATCATATAATAACAGCATAACAGGCTAATTGGGTTGTACTGTGAGGAACTATAAATAATACTTTAGACAACAATGTAATTTAAAGAGGTTCAAACTAGAAAACATACCTACAATTAAGTTAACCAGTACTAAATTGAGAATAAAATATACTACTAAACCACATTAGTTTTTCTTTTCAATTCACTTCAATTTTCCTTACCTTTTACATGTTTTTGATGGTGTATTTTTGCTGTTTTTTTTAGTATTTTCCGAGGAGTTACGCAGAGTCCATCGTCGCTCTCCTCCAGGGCAGGGAGACAGGGACCGCACTCAGATGAGCCAGTCTTGCAGAGCTGTCGCCCCGCTTTGGCACAGTCTATATGGGAAGGGCATCTGGGAGCAGCTATGGCAAAAGAAACAAAATGTAAATAAATATTAGTAGGAAACTGTGGGCAAGCTTTCTATTTACAACAACGTAAATGTGGTTGGGTTTAAATTTGACATAGGAAATGTTGTGCAATGGTAACATAACATCCATTCTGACCAAGACTTTAAACAAACCAAATCCAATAAGAGAAATGAAACACTAAACAACAGCAAAGGAGAAATTCAAGTTTAATTTCAAGTTTATTTTGGTCAAATACGTTTCACAGCTCATCCAAGCTGCTTCTTCAGTTCTGGCCAGAATGCTGGTGGCCACTGCCTTATAGCTGTCTTAAGGGAGGAGCTAACTACAATGAAACTGCTATGAAACTAACACTGTTTGTTAGCTAGGCCTATTGAACTGCACTGAGTGTGGGGTCATATTAGCAAAATCATTCAGGTCCACAATGAGTGTTTTTACACCTCTAACCCAGACCTGACTATCTCTATTGTTCCATTTTAGGTCTGAGGATGGAGTTGAGGATGGAAGACAGATGATGTCTGAGGCCTCCATTTCTGTTCAAGGATGGATTGTCTTTCCTAACAAAAATAACCTCATTAATTCCCGTCTCAATTCTTTTCTCTGGCTAAGATCTGCACCTCACTATCCTCAAAGGAGTGGCCCGTGGCTTTTAGATGGAGATGAATGGCAGACTGAGGTCCACTATGGCTCTTTCGTCTGTGTTGGTACATCTTCTTGTGAAGTGGTTGTTTTGTTTCTCCAATGTAGCGCTCACTGCAGTCTTCACTACACTGAATGGAGTATACAAAATTGCTTTGTTTGTGGCTTGGTGTTTTAGTCCTTTGGGTGGAACCTTTTATTGCACATATAAATGCTATAGATTCAAACAGCAAATTCACTCACGAAGATGCCAAGGAGAACACAAAATTCAAACAATATAATAATATTTTGAAATTATACAAAAAAAAAAAGTTTTCCCTGTTCTTGAATTGGAATAGGGTTGTTAGGTTTAGCAGGTTTGAATGAGCAATTGGTTTTAGATGTGGCTGGTGATGATAATAAAACATCTTTGATTCTTGTAATTGTGTGCACTACATCAGAGCCCATTGTAAAAAGCTCTCATTAATGACATGTGGTACAATCAGGCTGAATAGTCCTTGACCTGATTACTGATGCTTGGGCACTCAGACAGCTCACAGTATTTTAAAACACACACACAGGGACAGGGGGAAGTGGGTCAGGGCAGGGCAACAGGTGGAGATACCAGCACAGACACACAGTGGATAATAAGCGCAGCAGTACAGCACAGCAAGACAACTTCAAGAGAACAGCAGAGGGGATGTCCAAGCTGCCTTTAGCTCCCAGAAGGTAATATGAGGTCAGAAAAATAATATTTGATTGGGACTTGTTTAGAGTTGTTTTGTAAAGCTCTTATCTAATATTCTGGAGATTACTTGCAATGCGTAACACAACAATATAATTTGGCCAAAATGTAATGGAAAAATGGAAAAAAAATCTAAAGCATGTTTTGAAACAGTGCTCATCTTTAAAAGGTGCCAACTAACATGCTTACTCCCCCAGTGGTTGGTATTTTTAAAGGAAATAATATGGAAACATAATAGATTCGGAGGTTTGATATATTGCTGAAGAAAATATTAACGATTAACGATAATACTGAATGTCATTATGTCACAATGCCTCTGACGCATTAACCCTGAAGCAGGATTTCCCCCAAAAAAACAGAGCTGATCATGAGCTACAATGAGAAAAATCAAAAACATGAGTCATTGACATTGCTTCTTTGGTCCGCTACATTTCAAATTTTAGCATAGTGCACAAAAGATACCAAAAAGATCCACAATAAGTACTGACCCCAAAATATAATGTTTCATTGATCATGTATTGAACGATAAGTCGATATAATAAACATTGTGCCAAGCCTAATACGGAGTAAAAATGTTTTTAAAATAAGATGGTTAGCATTGTGCCCATTGTCACTGACATAACTGATGAGCCCAAATTGCTTACAATAGTGAGCCTAATACAGTCAATGCAGTACACATATTGCTGCCACTGGACTGTGTAATAGGAAATAATTTAAACTTAACATAAGAAAGGTCATAGGGTACAGAATGCATACAGGGCCTTAGTTGTGTAATCTCCAGCTAAACCAATAAACAAATGTTATCTGGATAAGGATGTCATTAAGCAATTCATAATCATAATTTACTTAGAGTTTACATTGGGGCTTATTACAATAAAGTCAAGTGCTGCAATTACTTAAACTATGTAAATAAATGATTACATGAAAATTTGGATTCCGCTTGAAAACAAGTAAACAACAGTTTATCCAATGAAATTCTGTATTTTCATCAGATAACACATTGATAAAATAACTTATTGGCTGTTCATCAAATTGTTGATGTGTTAAAGCATCACTGTGGGAGTTAGGAAGTCCACGTGCCAAAGACACCCCTTCAATATCGCAGCAGTCAAGATTTATCAGTTAAATTATTTCTCCTCATTTCGCTCACTCCATCTTAACTGCACATTCTATTTATACCCACCCAGCATGTGCATTCTTCTCTTCATTGTAAAAGTACATCTTCTTCTCTTGATCTTTTTCAGAAATAGCTCACTGGAAAGGTTTATGTGCGTACAGTCGGTGAGTCGTGTGTGGATTGATATTTCATACACGTGGCATTCTGTCCCTGCCTCAACCAGCACATGGACTAGAGGAGATTCATGTTTTTACTGCTAAGATTAATTTTTCTCTTTCATTTAGCTGTCAGGAGCAATATTCAAGGACACTTTTCAAATGAAATGAAACTTACTTGACTGAAAAAAAAAAAACATATTTTAGTCTTCAAAAAATTTGAAAATCATAGTTCATTTTAAGTGGTTTGCAGTGGTTCAAAGTTATTCCTCATTTACCTTATGCATTCAGAGCATCCTAATTATTCACTGTGATGAGTTTCTAAGCGCTTTTTACAATTTTCAGCCAATTTTGCTGTCATGGTAAAGCTAACAACAACTTGCATGCGAACAGTGCACTTCCTAATACAATTCTTCTCTATACTCTAAGATGATTCTATTATCTGGAACTTGACCTCTCGTTCTTTAGAAGTTGGAAGAGAGGTGCAAACATGAGAAGTAGTTGAATATAAGAATATGTACAAATGGAATATGTCTCTTTGTCTAATTCATATGAAACACAAAATGGAAGATGCTACTACACAGAAAAACAAAAAGCTGCCAATGAAGTGAATGTCAAGTCACAGTAAGAAGCAACCTTTCGTCAATACCTCCCACACACTGCCAGTGCTAATGACTCTTTAATCGCAAATATCCCACAACAAAGATGCCAAAAAATACAAAAACACTGACCTTTATGACTAAATTAATCAAATATTATTAAATATCAATGTATTTTGTGTGGGTGTGATGACAGTTATGCAACCCAAGAACATCGCTGGGGTGAAAATGACTTTATTCACCACATGCTGCTGCTGTTGCCAGGGCTGAGTGCTGGCAGGGGCGTTCTCACATCGCACTCCCACACACACAACTCAAAACCAAATAAATTAGACTTGATTATTCAATATTTGAATCAACAACTCCCTGGAGCTATTGTCTCCACATTGTACACCAGGGCACAAGATTTGCAGAAAATATCTACTGTAATTGTGATTTTTCTGAGAAGTATCACGATTATGATTAGATTTGCTTTTTAATAATAATTGCAATTTCACATCTTAAACAAATCCAGAAGAATTGAAAGACTAAAATATCATCTGAGAAGCTTATACAAGTATCATGTGTTAGAACATATGTAGATCTACAGGAATAGCAATTTCTTTTTATACAGAATGAGATACTTTGATGTTTGTGGAGCAAATTATAATACTTCAAAATCTGCAGCCTTTGTTGTTGTTTTGCTAATTGTGATCATTCAACTTTCAAATTTGATCACATTTAATCTTACAGCTTTATTGTACAAGCTCTAATACTGCCAGTGGAGCTTTTCATGGAAGACGATGTGGCATTTGTTTTTCCATTGTAGCAGTTTCCTGTTTGGCCCGGGCAGACAGGAAGTGAGCCACTCCAAATCAAGTGGAAGCAGTGGAAGCAGATACCAATGTGTTTGGATTCAGCCATAATATGATGCACATTGACGACATTCATCAAAAGATTATTATGATGAAGTCATGTATGATGCCACCTATGACGTAAAATGGGATTATTATGCTTTGTTCACATATGGGTCAGGATTAATTTAACAATTATTTTAGGTGGATAAAATTGCTCTGGCTATTTACTAACTTAGTTCACTAAATTAAGTGAAACGAGTCTTGTTATTCTGCTAGCTTTCTTATTGTTGCTTTTGTACCGGTATGGTTTCTAATGTTATTTATTGTGTAACAGTAAAAAATTCCATGTGAGAATGCCAGAAAATAGATATTAAGTCCAGTTTTAGCCTGCAGTAGATGGGTGGGCAGTCTGAAAATATAGGTTTATGGATATTTGATATCAGTAGGTTTGATTGGGTAAGCAAGAATCTATTTGTATATAGCTGATATATATTTGTATTACTATATTTCTCAATTTTTTTTATTCTTGTGCATATAGTATACATTTATGTAAGTATGCCTTATTTGACACCAGTCTCGTGCTATTTTTGCTACTTATTTAGAATGTATTATTACCATTTATGTTTTCACTTTTTGTTATAATATAATAATTAATATAATTAATATATTGTGATGTGTGAACTACTATGTCGAAATAATTCCCCTTGTGGATCAATAAAGTTGGTCTAAATCTTATTTGTCTACACCTAATTTGATGTCAAAAGGACATTGACTGACTGATGAAAATATATTCTATCAAATAATATTTTGCAGAAAAAAGTAGTTAATGAAGGAAAGCATTGCTAATCAGAGATGGGAAAAGTTATTCATTGTGAAAGATATATTATATGTCTTGTTTGAAATAGGGGCTGTCTGAACGACCAAACCCTCAACAGAAAATATGACATATAAAACCCAAACAGTCTTACATTACTCCCAAATCCTCCCAAGATTTTTTGAATGGAAAATGGTTTAGTTAACCACATTAGGGGTTTAGGGGACATTTACAAGGTAATCTGGACTGATCAACCCGAAGCAATGCAAACGCACCATGATTTCACACCAAGCAACCACAGCGTGCACCTCTGTGAAAGAGGAAGTGCTCGAAACCAGAGCAGTTTTTCATGTGCGTCTTTATCTGTGTGAGCCTGTCTGTTGTGCCCCAGTGACTTGTCGTGTCAGAGTGATGAGTGGAGCCATTGCACACAGGATAATTACTGTGTCATTATCATTAGCACAGAGCAGCACCACCCACAGCTACAAAAGGGCAAGACAATGGTACAAAGACAACAGGCAGGTGATAAGATAAAGTCAGACTTTTTGAACAACAAATTCAGAGGAAAATGCATTCAGGAAGTGCTAAAGTTTTCCAAATACTAGAAATATAACATTCAAATAACCTTTTTAGCACTGTAAATCTTAAAAGTGTACTATAACCTGCTCTTCTCTATGCAGATGTCATGGACTTGCACTGTTATGCTTCACAAAATAGCATTAAACATAACTCCACTGAGACACGAATATTGTAAAGTTACATGTCATATCTGTGGAGAGGCAACCCCACTCACAGTAAAAATGCATGTTTTTCAAGTAATTTTATAAATACATGACTGATAAGTTAATGCAATACATCGGAACATTACAGTCAAAGCAATAATGTCTTCATGAAGACAACTAGGTGGCACCTTTAAGTTGGACTTGTATGCAATCCTTCAGGCATACAGGTTCCATAAAACAAAGTTTGAGCTCAGTTACGGTCAAATGGAAAGTTTTTATGATGCCAGCACTGAACAAGGCGATTATCAAGAGTAAGAGAGAGCCTGACAACAGCATGAAGTATAGCATTAGTGTCTTTAGTAAAAATACTATAGCCACTTATCCTTCTCTGTTAGGTTAATGACTTAGTTTCCTGTCATGGTCCACAATGGGGCAAATCAATGTCGTCATCCATACATCTATTCTAGGCTGATGCACATGGTCAAAAAATACTATGGTTTCCACAAACTACTGTAAATCCTCACCCAGCAGAGCCATTTAAAACCACTAATAACATCTGTCAGATTTAAGCCGCATCTCTTCTAAAAGCTTTGTGGATAAAGCAGTTGGCAAGATGAAAGGTTAAAAGTGCATTTACTTAAGCAATAACTACTACCACTGCCACTGCCAGAGCACATTCTATCTTGAGAAGGCAGAGGAATAGTCAAATAGCTGTTTTCCATATCATCACCATTGTATTGCTTCATTGTGGAATGGCAAATGCTATTCATATTTTGTAGCACTAGTATTTTTGCAGAGGTTTAATATGGAAAAGGCACAATAATTGCAAAAACAGGAAAATACAGTTGTGATAATGGACTAACTGTTGTTATTATTATTTACAGATAGCCTGCACATATACATAAATGCTTACTTATGAAACTTATAAAACTTATTTGACACATTTAAGTTTTGACGGTATCTCCTAGTGCAGCTTTATAAATGTTATGCATAGTAAATATTTTTAGAAAAATTTAAAGCAGCACCATTGGTTATATTTATTTGTAACATGACTTCTATTTGCTTTATTATCTGATCTTATTACCTCCCACAACAATTCTCCCCTCACTGATTTTCTTTGTTAATTCCTCATTCCTGTCCAGATGTCACTACTGATGATTTCCTTGTACTGTTCACCTCACCATGGCAACGCGGCATGTCCTCTTCACATTTCAGCGCAGCCATTGGCTCCACTAACTTGATAGTAGCCCTGTTATTGGATTAAAAAGCTTTTGCAGTCATGAAAGAAAAATCCTTTTAGCCTCTAGATACAAATAATTACCAGTAACCCCAGTGCATTGACTCTATGGTGTCCTTCTGGCTGTGTTCAAATTGCATGGTGGCACATTTTGCTTCCCCTGCGCACAGATGACTAATTCTGCTGCAGGGTATAAAAGGTGATTGGAAAATGCTAGGGCCATTTTCCTTTGAGGGAGGGGAGACTAAACGCATGAGGTTTAATGGTGGGGAAAAGGCCATGGCAACTGGCTTTCAGAATAATAATCACAGTGATACTATGTGGCTATGTGAATGACACAAGTGGCATTTAAATATGGCAACACAACAGGACACCACGAGAGAGCAAAATAAAAGAGGTGTATAGTTATTTACTTGGTTAGATGGTTGTAAAACGGGATACTGCTACTCACATTGGTCGCTGTGTTTTGCCTGGTAGAGGATAAAATTACTCTTGCATCTTTTATAGTTAAGATAAGATTATAAGAGAATCTTAGTTTGTACCACAATGTAGACATGGGTCAATTTTCAAATACTGATAATATTGTGAATGTTTTCAAGACATGCAAATTTTTAATATTGATTATACAGTTTAGAAAAAAAGGTCACAAAGAGCTGATGAAAAAAAATATCCAAACAAAGATATAAATAGGTAAAATAACATAACTGTCTCATTTCAAATTTCATTTCACATGTATTTAGTAAATCTCAACTAACGCATTTACACATTTGACACATTTCTTTTGGATTGACATATTATCATCTGAATATTGCCATTGGGATATCAAGATATTATTTTTGTCAGTATTGCCAATGTGGAAGTAGCGGTGTTGTAACAGAAAAGTACAAGAATGGCAAAATAGAAATTAGGATGCTAAAATATTTAAGATAAATAAGGAATTACACAGGCTTGGTAACATAAATAAGCATCCATATATACTTTGAATGAATGTTAATATCAAACTAAATTAATTGGTAAAAGAGTAAAGCTATACAGTATAAAAGACAACATAAAATAGATGAGTTTTTGTTTTGTTTTGTTTTGGTAGTACTGGATTTGGCACTATAAGCACATAATTTCACATCACTATGTGCCACCCTCTATTTAAATGACTAAATTCCATCTTTCCATTAGATTATTATAGGTTGTACTAGCCTATACATTGTTATGAGTGACTGTTCAGTTTAGTATTGGGTTTGGCAAGACAAAACCCATCATTAAATTGAACAGTCACTGTCCCACCCAAGGGAGTGAAATGTGTTATTTTGAATTACAATGTTATTTAACACACCATATGTGAACAATAGCTTGAGTGGTGACACCTCTGAACATGTCGTAACTCACAAGCTGTGTCTTACACCAGCATCACATACAAACTAACATTACGCATCATGTCAAACAAAACCTGCTCTGCCAGAAAACAGGAAACAATATTAGGGCAGTGTTTTTACTTTTCGACTAGTATGGTCATTACATAATTTTATAATGCTGTAATAAATAAGATCCATCCCTTTAATGTGATTCGATGCAGGGGTACTCATGATATTCCAAGTTATACACATTGTAGGATTCAATTACAAACAGTGACTAAACGATACAGTACCATCTGTCCACCAATTATAGGCAAATGAACAAAAAATAAAGAACACGGTCAGTGGTGTTATTACAAGATGATTCATGAATGAAAAAGCAGCTCATAAAAGCTTAATTCTTGACTGAACAAGACACATTTTTATGGACTGAAACGTGTCTAAATCCACAAAGAAAGAAAACCCCAAAATGAGGTTAAAACAGCATCAGGGACTATGTCAGGTCACAACCAGTAGTTTAGTGTTAACCTGAATTGCACCTAAATTTAACTGTGCCAGAAACAGTCTAAACCTCAATAGACCCTGTAACACAGAAAACTGTTACCATAACCACTTCTTGCTCATATGATTGAGTCATTATTATGTTTCTCAAAGTATCAAGCAGATACAAAATGGGTCAAATTGGTCGAAATTAATCAAAGTGAAAAGTGCAGAAAAAACACTTTTGGTTTATAGGCCTACGTCACACTATTGTTTCCATGCCTGTTGCATAAGCACTCACTATACTACAGACAGTGGCTTGAAGATGACTCACATTGAACGCCCTATACTTGTTAAATTCTGTGTGGCTTTTGGTGAAACTGCTCTAAATCTTATCCACTATACTAACTCTCCAAGTTGATGTCTCTGAGAATTACACATGGAACCCCAGCTGTGCGCCACTGCTGCCATGTAAGATCTTATAATCTGTGTACACACGTCAGCAGCCCCAGACCACTCAGAACACTCATATCTCAGACGCACTCACGCTCTGCCAACGTGGTGGTGGGACACATTACCAGTCATGGCAAATGTCACAGTTAATTGCAAGTAGGATGACATCAAACGGAAATGAAGTAGATTGACCACAACGAGCTTTTAGGCCAATAGGATTATTGGGTTAAAAATCATAAAATTTATGTGAATTTTTCTGGGAAGTGTTAGGCCCCATACACTTTTTCTTTGGGTAATTTATTCAGTTATATTCAATAAAGCATTTCACTTGGGTAATGACCAGTGACTTATTACCTCAAAATGGTTTAACTCTGTGGCTTAATTGTGAGATCAGTCCTGATGCTGTGGAATTACAAAATGAAAAGAAAATCTGACTCCTTTAACAATAGCATTTAAACACTAACTGAGATAGTTTCACAAGAAAGGAATAAAGCCTGTGCTGTTTACCTTTCACTTCTTATTTTCCTTCTCCATCTCTACCCTACTTAAGCAAATGCTGTTTGCTGACTTTAAGTTACAAAACCTGTCTGAACCCCTGACAGCCAAATAGAACAAACAGAACAAATAAGAAAGCCCCCAGATATTACGTTTCCAAGTAGAAAGAGGCTAAATGCCCAAACCCTGTTAGTAAAACAGTGGATCAGGGATTTGTATTTACCTTCGAGACTTGCTGAGGTGACATGGAGCAGCACCGCGGCCAGAAGCAGGAGCGAGGCCCGGCCAGCACTAGCCCATCGCGGGTTGGAGAGCAGCAGCATCCTGGATCTGTTGTCGGGGATGGAGCACCGTAGATCGAGTCTGTTGTCATTCCCCCATTACTGCTCTTTTATGCTTGTTTTTGAGGTTTCTATCAAGACTCGAGACAGCGTTGGAGCAGGAGCTAAACCGAGCGGGAGCAGCACCGTGGAGCTGTCCGTGTTCACTGCGCACTGTAATCCGTGGAGCTGGCGTGGCTAAAGATAGCGGAGCCTTTGAGGAGGAGGAGGAGGAGGGGCAGGTGCGCGTCCTCCTGGAGCTACTGTTTGATATGGTGCCTTTAGGAACCTAAGGCCATGAGACAATCCCCTGGAATTGCAGCAAGACGAACACACACTTATGATTTGAAAACATCAGAAGACGAAAAAAGGAAAAATTATGATAATTAAATAATAATAATAATAATAAAAATAAATAAATAAATAAAAATAAAAATAATAATAATAAAATCCATGTTATGCACAAGGAAGTGGACAAAACTTTACTTTAAAGTGACGTCCCTATTTACCCGGGACAGTCCCAGTTTTCAGCCCTGTGTCCCCTGTCCCAGCAGATTTAAACAAAACCAGTGATTTGTCCCAGTTTTATAGAAGATATGTCCCAGTTGTTCCCACTTTTGACCACTTTGATCCCCACCGACAGTAAAGAGGGGAATATATTTTCATTTGTTAAACTAAAATATATAACATGCTTGAAAATGACCGTAAGACAAAAACAAAACAAACAAACATACAAACAAAACAAAAAAAACATGTGTGATGTGTGTCCCAGTTTTTAATTCTGAAAATTTGGTCATTCTACCTTACTTTGCCCAATCAAGATAAACGAAAGAAAACACTTGACATCTCTCTACAATATAATAATAATAATAATAATAATAATAATCATAATAAATCGGAACTAAACCTAAGTGGACTGGCCTCAGTTTTTAAAAGTGCTGATTTCTCATGGTCTTTGAAGGCAGCAACATTTGAATAAGTGGCTGATAAATCAAATCGGTCTGGATGCCAGTATCAGGTACATAGAACTATAATACTAGATCCATCAGGCATGGACTGTCATTCATCTCTCATGGCGTGGCTAAGCAAAACAATAAGATACAATTTTTATAGGAATGTGGTCGCTTAGACTTAGACTAGACTTAAACAAACTTTATTCACCCACAAGGGAAATTATTTGGATACAGCACTCATAACAATTTCATATAATAACAAAGAGTAAAAAATATAAATGGTAATAATAAATTCAAATTAAGTAGCAAAAAAGATAGCAAGGCATAATTATATACACGTATATGTACAAGTCAAAATAAAACATAAAGATAAATAATAAAATATAAAATCTCAGCTATATACAAGAGGTCATAGAAAGACAGTGCAACAGTGATATGATGATTGACAGGACATAAAGTTATCCGTTACATAAGGGTGAGTTGTATGGTTGTAGGGAGTATTACCTGTTACATAAAAGTGAGATATTGTACAGTGGTAAGGAGTATTATCTGTTACATACCATACGGGTGAGTTGTTGTACAGTTGTAGGGAGTATTACCTGTTACATAAAGGTGAGTTGTTGTACAGTTGTAGAGAGTACGGTATGGATGTAATTCTGTATCTCTCACTGTTTGAGCAGAGCTGTAGGAGCCTGTTAGAGAATGAGTTCCTCTGTCCCGCTATAGTCTGGTGCAGGGTAGCAGGAGTGTCCATGATGAGCAAGTGGAAGTGTGACTGATTGAGCATAATATCCATTTTAATATTGTCATTGTTTAATGTGATGAACAAAAGACTGAGACAAATTAGTTTATTATCATTGCTATTTTTACAAGATTACTCAGTTCACAAAGTGGATAACTAAAGATAAAAGAAATTCATGTGGTAATTTCTTTTGGCACAAATTGGATGTTACCCCCCAACATAACCATTTTAAGGAAAGCCGGCTGGAGGAAGAAAAACAAGGCTGCCCTTTATACCACGACCCTGAGGTAAATAGTTTGGCAAGTTTTAACAAAAACAAAATATTAAGTCCCACTAAAACTATGCCAGCAAAAATAAGAAAAATGTCAATTCATGGAAAATTAAATCTAAATTATTTGCCACATACAATATTTGCATTTATGATTGGGATGGGATAGTTTGTTCATTAGATATGATATAAACAAAAAGTCTCTCAGGAAATGCAGGTCAGGCATTTTAAGAAATATGACACCATACGTAATTAATCAAGTGTCAACTTAAAATAAATGCATTGATCCAGTTACTATGGAAACTCTTATACGATCTCATTAGTTGCTTTGTTGTGTTGTATGTTGTTACATCATACAAAGAAGAGTAACAAACTAAAGTGCATAGTAAAAGACATCAAAAAGGAACTGATCCAAACTATTGTTAATATAGCTTTGGTAAAATTGTTACAACTGAAACATGTACTTATTCTAAAAGGTGCACAAAATCATAAACCTAAATGGAATAAAAGCAACAATCTGTGAAAGATCTCTTTTTACAGGTTACACAGGCACACACAAAAGAAAATGTACACACTTCTCTGAAGCATTCATTCTCACTAATCCCTGAAAAATGCTTATGTTTGGCCCCCAATTTTCTTCACCTTGTAATGACGTTTCACTATTGAGACTCTGTTGGAGCTACTCCACCTACTGGCCAAAAAGTCCATTCACTCATTTCAACAGTACTGTATAAATAAAACACAAAATAAAAATATGTGCAATTCTAGATTTTAACAACTAACAACTGCATTGCATAAAAACATCACTAGCCATTACATATGACCTTATTCGTCCCTATTAGTAAGTGATTTAAAAATACCTCTAAACGCTCCTTATGTGACTACAAGAGCAACAGTTCGGACAGTAGGTTTGGGCAAAAGATTGTGCTAGTCAATTTTGAATCTAAAATATGTCTGCTCAGCTTAACTACATATATTTCCAATCCGCACTGCCAAAATACCAGGTACTCTTTTAAAAATGTAAGTTAATATGATTCAGACAGATTGTTGCCCTTGCAGCACCTGATCTATAACATCCATTGCCTGTAAACATGCAGGGAAAACCAGTACGGGCTGTGTTTGAGGCAGTGAAAGACTTTGAGGCACATTCCAGCAGAAATAGTGGAAAGTGTCAGGGCTCAGTCTCTGCTTCAATGTTACTGTCTGTGATCTGAGTCAATGATCCTGCTGTGCTTTGTAGCCGAGATTGTCGCTCTTTTTCTAGGTCCATGTCCAGCACTTCTTGGACAGCTGCAGCGGTTTTCTCCAGGACTAGTTCCAGGGTGTGCTGGAATGCCTCGTCCAACTGTCCTTCCTCTGTCAGTCGAATTTCAATGTTCATTCCAGCAGGTTTCTCAGGCTTATCTTCTCATGCAAAAACAATATTAGATAAGACCACAATAAATAATAACTAGGGTTGGGACAGGACAAGACAACAAGAAAAGATGAGAACTTGGTTCAAACTGATTTTGACATATGTAATAAATAAATTGTGTGGATCAGTTTACAATGTTTTCCCTACATCTTATTACTTAACATTTTATATTTCTGAGATCATTGCAGAACTGCTCTTTTGAGCTATGACTCCTCAAAACATAACTCACAAGTGCTTAACCTTTGTTTTGTCCAAGTCAAATGTAAACACTCTTGAGATCTTGTCCCATCCTCAACAACATTTTCATTCTGTTTTACCTTGTCCCAGCTGCCTCTCTTTTGGTAACAGCAACACATCCACATTGTGATGTTCTTCCAAAGCATCTAGAAGTATTTGACCTTCACGGCTGAACAGGAAAACCAAAGGTATTGTGATGTCCTCAGTTGAGCCCCCATCGCCCACCATTTGAAATAGTGGAGAATCATTGCTGTTGCTTCCTTCTCTGTGATCTGGCAATTTTAAGAGAAGTTATACAGTTATAATGGTTATAATTTTAGCTTTTGAGATAAAAAAAAAAAAAAATAAAAAGGATCACATATCATTCCAACCTATAAAGATGATTCCAGTTGCTCCTGCATCCTGGAGCTGACGGGCCTTTGCAGCAAACATGCAGTGTCCTCGTAATGCTAGAGCAATATGCCCTTTAATCTCTCTAGTATTCTCTAGTAGTCCACAGGCTGTATATGGTACTGATTTTACAATACTTCCTTTTACCTACAGAAATAATATGAACAATGAATTAACCAATATGGACAAATGGTAAAATCTGTATAAGGTGGGAACAGAACTAAAGTAGATCATTTCCACTCCTTTTCTATTCCTATTTTGCCATGTCATGATAAAATCAATAAATACTGACAGATCAGGCAGTGGACAGTGAACTGCAGGTGGATGTCACTGACAACATCATGTATGCGGGCAAAACTCCACTGGAGGACACTTCTGTTTTTAGCAAAGAAGTGTCTCAATGCTAATGCAAAATTTTATAAAAATGCTAGGTCTAAATGTGTTATAAAGATGACCCGATTATTTGTAGGTGTAGATCTTAGTATATATAAATGGATATAGCTAACTCACTAGGCACCATTTTCTAAATAGGACATGTTCATGGGGGCGCTTCCAGTCCCTTCCTTCTACATGATCCTGGTCATTTTATTTAGCCAATTTGGGTGACGTCACACTCTCTTTTTTATAAAGTCTATGATGTAGATTGATTCGGTCTGTGGCGTTATTTAAATATTTATTAGCCTCTGAAATTAGCAGTAGCGTGACACAAAGACATAGGGATATAGAAAGGACTGGAAATGTCACTCTGACTGGAACTAACTGGCTAGGGTTCACAGAGCCTATAACATCATGCAATTGACAGACTCTCCACCAGAAAAGTTACACAGTAAATCTTTAAAATGCCAAACTAAAGGTGGGTAGTAGGCAAAAATATATATTTACTTTTTGACCAGTTCTATACTAAAGCCTATAATGTCTGTCAACCATCTACAAACATGTTCTGAAATGAAAAATTAAAAACTTTTTCCAAAATTGTTTAGACCATGTGTCAGCTGTAAACATTATGTCACCATTAAGGAGATTTTTTCCAGATTTTTCTTCAATTAAATGTGTCCAAGCAAATGGAAGGAATTCATAGTGTAAATTCATAGTGACAGACAACATTAACTGATAAAAACAAACAAAACTGTCTTGAGTTGGTTCACCCCATGTTCCTGTTTGGTAAGATCCATTCCAAATTTTGCTGGTCCAGCTGTCAGGACTGTCCGACCCAAAAAAGGCGGTGATATAAGCTGGACAATATGTGGAACAACCTCTTCCTCCTCATTTGTTTGACTCAACTCAGCAACCAGTTTAATTTGATACATTCCTTTATGCTCCTGATAGAAAAAACACAGTGTATTAAAAAACATAAATCTTTTTACAGTTGTGATGTGCATTCGTCACCTTAGAACTTCCAGTCATTGCTTCATTAAGTGGCATAAGGGAAATGCCCATACTTTTTAAAAATTCAACAGACTCCATCCCATTGTCGTGCAGTGGTAGTTCAATCTCTCTGCATGAAAAATAGTAAATGTTCCACGAGAGTGTAAAACATTTTTTGAATGAGAGGCGATACATTTTCAATCTGAAGTCTTAATTATATGTTTCAGTAGTCAAAAGCAAAAAAAACCCAACAAAAAAACAAGATCCTACATACCTGAGTGGAAGGGGCTGAAAAGCACGCCCCACACCAGTGAGGTACTTGTACCCATCTCGTATGCTTTTTGCAAATGTAGGGTTATTGGGAAAGAGTGCTTCAGGGCTTGGACAAGAGTGTGTGAATAAATCTTCAGCTTGTGAGACCTCAACATACTATAAAAGGCAGAAAACCAAATAGAGTCTTCACAAAGAATAGATCAATTACTATTAATTAGTTTAATGTATTGTGCTGTGATGATACCGTCATATTATCCTGACAGGCCGGCTGTTTGGTGGAGAGTGAGACAGGAAGAAGGTGAGCCTCTGTGGTGAAAACGTAGTCATCAATGTTGATAGGAAGCTGGCTTTTCTCAGAAAACAGCAAGTACAGGTACTTAAACATCTCTGCTAGGAAGAAGGAGTCCATCCTAGAGATACACATATTTCATGTAGTTAGGTCAACCGAAATGCATACCCTACATACAGACAGTTGAAATGCATTTCTGTAGAGGATAAGCCCCTTGAGTTGAGACTTTTCATTTTAACCACCTGTCCTCATGTGTTCCAGTGCGAACATCCTGCACAGCTGCAAACCCACAAGGCACTCGGGCATACACATTGAGCTTTTCTACAATAGACTGTCCAACTCGGAGGTAGTAGGGATCACCAGTGGCCTAAAAAGGCAACATGCAAACTTCAGAAAATGCAGCAGTGATTTGCACATATATACTGTACTATGCTAACCTTGTAGAGGTAGTAAGTGCTTTCGGCAAACTCTGGTCTTAATAGGTGTTGGCCCCAGTGGACTCTAAACTCTGTCGTGAAAGCCTTTGGAGATGCAAAACACAGAATGTTAATCCTAAAGCCTAAATGTAACCACAGGTATTCAAACATGCAACAGTACCTCAGGAAGAAACTTATGCTGCTTTGTCACTTGGTAAAGCATCTCATGGGTTTCAATAGCTGGTTTCAAATCACCCCTTAAAACCTATTTAACAGATCCGCAATAATATTTTTATATTATTCATTACATAATTTTTTATACTACATCATTAAAGTATGACTGCCTTACTGACCTGCAGACCAGGAAAAAAGGCCAAAAGGGAGTCCATCCAGCTGCGCACACTCACAGTTGGATTATGCATATGAACATTGAGCAACAGGGGAGGTTGACTAATGTATTTCATGATTGCATTGTAGTGCTATACAAATAATAATAAATAATTAGTTACTTAAAACAAAACCCTGTTAATCAGTTTTAAATAAAGAAAGAGCAACAGAAATAGATTTTTAAGTGATAACATAAGCATGACACACAGTATACTTACAATGTTAAATCTTTCAAGAAAAACATTGTCTCCAAGAAGAATATAAGCCTTCATTAGATATTCATAGTAGGAATCAATGCCAGCACCAACTCCACTGTCTAAAATAAAGGCACAGTTTGATTCCTGCATGTTTTTAAATCTGTGTCAGAATCTTCAGAATCCAGACTCACCCCTCCTGATCCATTCTCCATTATGAATATTGATCACTGTTCCTACTAAATCACTTTCTTTCTGTCTCCTGTTCCAGAGGACATCCAGAGCCTTTCGGGCATGTTTCTGTAATTTAGTAAGAAACATGTTTAATAATGTATATTGCTATCTATGCTTTTTATAGTCTTCAAAATGAGAAGGGTACCTCAAAAACAGAATCCCCAGACAATCGACTCAGAGCAGCAAACTCCAAAATCATGGTTCCAGCGCAGGCAGTACATGTGTCTGTTTCAGTGCCAATACGAGAAAGTGGATTCAGGACTCCATATCGCAGATTTATCTAAAAGACAAAAATATAAAATATCTGCATAAGATACACCACTAGTTCACTGTGTAATGAAATAAGATTTCAAATTTGCTTCTCACATAAAATATAATGATGAATGCATAGGTATATTTTATATATATATATATATATATATATATATATATATATATATATATATATATATATATAGGGGTGTCAAATTATCGCGTTAATTGCGATTAATTAATTACAGTCATATTTAGCGCGTTATGTTTTTTAATCTCTAACTTTACCGTTTCTATATGCGAGTTGCTTTATTATAAAATCTGTTTTTATGTGTTGTTGGGACAACAACACACACACACACACAAAAACACATTTATACTTTTTTTTTTTCGGTAATTCCACTCATTGCCGGAAACCCACACAAAACGTGCGCAGTAAGAGCGATGTAAACGTCATGTTGTTGGCGGCGTCAGTCACAATGGACGAGGTCGAAGAGCCAGTAGAACAGAGTCAGCAGTGCACAGGTAAAACACCGACAACGACGTGCTCCTGTGCGCCGCTTACGTTTTCTCACGTACGCTGCGTAAACCGCTTCGTAAACCATACGCTTCCTCCTGTGCGCCTCTAAACCAGAACTAACACCAAGACTAAAACCGGGACTAACCCAGTCCAGGACTAAAACCAGAACTAAAACCAGAACTAAAACCAGGTCTAAACCAGGACTAAACCAGGTCTAAACCAGGACTAAACCAGAACTAACACCAGAACTAAAACCAGGACTAACCCATTCCAGGACTAAACTAGGACTAAAGTAGGACTAAAGCAGGTCTAAACCAGGACTAAAACAAGGACTAAAACCAGTGATCTCATATATAAAGCATTTCTCTATCAATAATATTTTTAATATGATTAAGGAAAGACTGGACTTTTTATTGTCTTTAGGTAGACAAAAGTTATTATGTTCAGATTTCCTAGTCTTTGCTACTTTACAGCAAACAGTTTCTTATTCATGGAGACTTGGGCTCAACAGCCAATTTGGAGAGATTTGTTAAACAATAAATGACTTTATAAAGTCACTTTTTTTTTGTTCTATATTAGTCTTTTGATCTGCCACAATAATGTAATAATGAATTTAAATGAAAATACCTCAAATTGAAGGCTTTTCTCAGCAATTTTTAGGTGAGATTAATTAGATTAATTAATTACAGATCATAATTAATTAATCTCTCAATTTTTTTAATCGCATGACAGCACTATATATATATATATATATATATATATATATATATATATATATATACACATACACACACACACATATATATATATGTGTGTGTGTGTGTGTGTATGTGTATGTGTATATATATATATATATATATATATATATATATATACATATACATACACATACACACACACACATATATATATATATATGTGTGTGTGTGTGTGTTGGGGATCTGTCTTTTAAAAAACATGCTATAAAAATTCATAATCTAACACCATTGTTAGAGTTGATGAATTATTAAAAGGAACAAGCCTTTGGGTAGGGAAGGCCACTTGTAGTGTTAAAGGCAGGTAGTAAACGATGACCCAAGTCTTTGGCCATGTGTAAGAGTTCATCCCGGTACCACAGCATTCTCTCTCCTCGCTGACGGAACAGGTCTGCCATAATATGGGCTCCCAGAAGTCCTCTGGACATTTTAAATAATAGAAGACAAAAAGCATTTAATAAATTAATTAATACACATTCTTCTATCTAAAAGTCATGTTGTAACAAGCAGATCTTACCCCAAAACCCTAATGTTTGTCTCAAACACAGACACCACAACATCATTGTCAAGGCGTACGTCCCTCACTGCCTTTCTCACTGCTTCTTCAAACTCATCCAGCTTATTTAACACCTAAGACATGACAAATAAATACTAACAAAAAATAAGGATTATAATGTACAGAATCATAACAAATAATGCACTTACCACAAGTGTATCGAGGGTGTCAATCAGTGTGAGAGAAAACCTAAAGAAATTACAACAATTTAATTAAGGCTTCTGAAATGCTTAAAAGAAAACAACATATACAAAATAAATTAAGGATTAATATATGCAGTAAAAGACTTACTTGCCCAAAGACTCATCAATGTCACCTCTGTTGGGCTCTTGACCACGTACTCTGCCCTTACAGCTTAGTGGCATCAACTCATCAGCTGGATAGGCATATTTCTTCAAGTGACAAGAGAGTGACATTAATATACAGGGAATTGTAATGACAAATAGCTTTCCATGTAGCAGTGTGCATTGTCGACTAAGTTAATTTGTCATAGGTTTTGTCAGTGTTATTTGTAATTTGCTGGCTAAAATTAAATAAACACAAAGTAATCTGGGATGACTGAAGAAGAAAATAAATGTAGTTTTTGTATAAAATTAGATTTACCATGTAACTCCCATAAGCATGGTCAAACATTTCAATGATCTGTTCCCTGTAAACAATTAAACATTTAGGTGAATACATAACATAGGATTTTGTTCCCAACAG